AAAAATTATATGATAATAAAAGAGAAAAGAGAAAAGAAAATTATGTATGAAAAGATGACAATAAAAATGGAGTGAATGCATTATGAAATTTTGATGGGTGCCACTGACAACTAAAAATGTTCTTCACTGCTTTATGCCTCCACTTTCCTCTCCTTTCCTTTCCTTTCCTTTCCGCCAGAGAGAGAGTGTGAGTTGTGAGTGGGAAGAGAAAGTAACGGGTTCCTTCCTATTTCTTAACCATCAACCAAACCCTAAATTTGCATCAATAATTAAACACGTAAACACTAATTTAATTATTTTAAATAATCACTTACATTTCATTTTGAAGTATCTGGTTTATTTTTATAATTATATTATTAAGAGAATAATTACGTTTGACCTCTCTCAAATTTTGGTCAGAATTAATACACATTCATATGTTTTTAAATTTATATATTTACTCTTTTTTTTTTTGTTTACAAATCAAATAATTTTCCTCCTTGATTATTGATGGCGTTTACATCGTTTAATATTTGTCGAAGTGAATCACCGTTCAAATAACTTATTTTCAAAGTTTTTATATTTTTGTAGTATGTTATCACTAAATTTACTTCTATTTGATGCTAAGAAATTTATTTATTATAATTTATAGTTGTATAAAAGAAAAGTATTGATTCTAAACTAAAATGCAATGCTTAAAAGAGTGAAACTCTCACTGTAATAATTTTATGATTATACATATATGCACATTTTGAATATTTTTTCTTTGCTCAATCTCTCAATTAAATGTGTATTTTTACGGCATCCTCATGAAAAAAAAAAAAAAAACTAAATTTCTCAGTCAGTTCAAATTATCTTTATGTATATATTTGATTTTTTTAATTGTTTATATTTTTTCAATCTACAATATTAATCTATATTTCTACGAATTTCATTAGTTTTCTTAAAAGATATTGTCTATAATTAAACAACTCTATATTAAAATTAAATTGATTCCATATAAATTTAGAATATAATTTACGTATATACACAAAAGAGTATAATTTATATATTCAAAATATATTTTTATTAATCTTAATTATTTAAAAAAGCTAACATCTATCTTATGAAATATACAAAATAACATGGTAGTACTTATTAAAAACTAACACTCACCTTATGGAATATATTAAAACTTTTTTTCAATGAGTTAAAAGGTTTTTTATTAATACTTTTTCAATTTTGACCAATTTTTAACTGGCTAAACATTTTTATCCTTTAAATTTTGAGTATCTTTCTTTCTCTCCAACAAGTCATATTAATTAGTCCAATATTTAAGAGTTAGACTCTGATGTAGATAAAATGTATTAAAAAAATCATACCCTTTCTAAACAGATTTATGTCAATAAGATAATCGCTTATTTAAAAAAAATACAAAATAGATGACGAATATGTATTTTTTAATATAATGAATTTTTATTTTAGCTTATTGTAACATTTTAAAACGACAATATATTATTTTTGTCAAACTTTCCCATATTTGGACAAATTTTTTTTCAAGCAAATAATTACTATTCTTTTCAAAAGCATTATAAATAGAGTGAAAAAAAAACGATTAAAAATAGATTAATGATTAAATTATACAAAATGGTGATTCATTATCTTTATTTTATTTTATCCTCATCTTTCAAAAAGTCCAAATTAACACTACTACAAATAAGGCCTTCAACGTCGTCTTATTTTTCAAATCAAATTTTTTTATTTATTTCCAACCCCTCTATTTATCTAGAAATTCCCCTCTCTTTTATATTATATTTTTATTAGGTCCCTCTATCTTTTATATTATATTTTTATTATTTATCATATATTTTTTAAAGTTTAAAGCATTACCAAATTATTTTTTTGTCATCGACAGATTCGAACTCAGTACCTTAGTGTTGGAGGTTGATACTCCAACCACTAAACTACTCGAATTTTTTGATAGTAACTTACAAATAAATTATATTTATATACAAATAAATATATATCCGTGTAAATATATAAATACAAATATATTTATATATTTTGATATATTTAAATAATTATATATTTATATATTGGATGTGAGGGCACGCTCGAAGGTGAAAGTGTGTGTCGAGTGGGTTTTCAAAATTTGATGCCAAATTTGTGAGCGAGTCTCTTTATATGGGTTTGTAATTTAATGACAGAATATAATATTTATAATTTATTTATATAATGATATAAAATAAATTTGGGAAATGCATCATTCGCTCAAGTGACACATTCGCTCAAGCGAAAAATACCAATTTTCGCTCAAGCTAGGCTTGAACGAGTGAATTTCGTGAGCTTTAACGTATTTTCACTTAAGCGAGAGTCAATCTCACTTTCACCCTCGATCGCGCCTCACATCCAACATAAAAATATATAAATATATCAAAATATATAAATATATTTGTATTTATATATTCTATATTTATATATTTACACGGATATATATTTATTTGTATATAAATATAATTTATTTGTAAATTATTATCAAAAAATTATAGTAGTTTAGTGGTTGGAGTATCAATTTTCAACTCTATAAAATACTATATTCGAATCTTATCGATGACAATTCTCTAACTTAAGTGAATTTTTCATTGAAAAAAATAAAAACACTTTCCAGAAAATATATATAAATAAATATATATTTACACGGATATTTATTTGTATATAAATATAATTTATTTGTAAGTTATTATCAAAAAATTATAGTAGTTTAGTGGTTGGAGTATTAGCTTTCAATTCTAAAATACTCGGGTTCGAATCCTGTCGATGACGATTCTCTAACTTAAGTGAATTTTTGGTTGAAAAAAAATAAAATCACTTTCCAGAAAATATAAATAAATATATATTTACACATAATATATATTTATTTGTATATAAATATAATTAATTTGTAAGTTATTATCAGAAAATTACGAGTAGTTTAGTGGTTGGAGTAACAACTTTCAACTCTAAAGTACTTGGGTTCGAACCTCGTCAGTGACAATTCTCTAACTTAAAAGAATTTTTGGTGAAGACACATTCAACGTCGGTTCATCGAGGAACCGACGTTGAAAGTGTCCATACAAAGACTTTCAACGTCGGTTCATCTAGAATCGACATTGAATGTACTTTCTACGTCGGTTGACTTGGAACCGACGTTGAAAGTGTCCATACAAAGACTTTCAACGTCGGTTGACTTGGAACCGACGTTGAATGTACTTTCTACGTCGGTTGACTTGGAACCGACGTTGAAAGTGTCCAACATTCAACTTTCAACGTCGTTTTTTAACCAACCGACGTTGAAAGTGTATTTAACGTCGGCTCAGCTTTAACCGATGTTAAATGGCGACGTTGAAAACATATTTTGTAGTAGGGTAATCTTTTAAGTTGAAAGTGTTTTAAAATTATTTTTTCATTAGTTTAAAATGAAGTTCGTTAACTGCACTTGTTTGTGTCTTAAACCCTTAAATGCCAAAGCACAAAATCTGCAACCAAATTTGTTAGGAGAATGATAATGAGAAAAGGTGGAGCCACACTACTCCACATGCAACCTCTACTTTTTAAACACTTGAACATGTGGAGAGACTAACCCTCCTTTCTCCACCAACTTCATTGCCAAAACCACTTGCCCATGTTTTGGTTGAGAGACGTTGATTTTGAACTTTCTAAGATTAGTGAGTAATTGAAGGATGTTATTGATAATGGATGTGATTGAATTCCATAACGCTGGTTGATTAATAAGTACGGAAGAATATAGATTTTGAGTTTGTTTTATGGTGAAAATTAGTTAGACTATTTAATCACTTATCGTATCACTACATGTTGATTTTGTGAGGAGTTTTTGTTGAAATTTTGATATTTTTGGAATTAGATAATGACATTAAGAAGTGTACATGTGGAGGGGAAAAGAATGAGAAAAGACGTTGAGGAAGTTAAGCTTAAGTAAAAACATATTTTGACACCACTCTTCTTCACACAAACAATAATAATTTTAACTTTATATTATAATTTTTATTTTTATTAAATCTCTTTTATAATTATTATATTAATAAAAAGAGTTGTTTTTAAAGTTGTTAAAAAAAAAAAGGATTTTGAATTGAAAAATGATACACAGCCTAAATTCATATCACTCCTTTGAATAACTTTATTTTAATATTATAATAATAATTTTACTTTATTTTTATTTTTATTAAATCATTCTATAAATTATTATATTAATAAAATTATTATATTAATAAAAGTAAATTATTTAAAGAATTGAATAGTTTCTACTTTTTAAAATATCATGACTGGAATTGAATTACTTACAAAATATAAAGACTAAATTATTCTTTTTTTAAATAAAAAAAATCAAACTAAATAAAACGTTTTGTATAATTTAAAATAAGCAATTATCTATAAAAAAAATAACTAAAGATCGTTATTATCTCTCTTTAAGCTAATTTTTTTATAGTGTTTTTGAAAATTTTAAAAAATATCACGCCCTAGTTCACACACATGGCAAAACTAGGTATACAAAAAATTGAAAACAAAACGAGAGGTGTAGTTGAAAAGATAAAATGGCGTCGCAGAGCCTTTGACGCCATCTCGAACCAGATTTCTCTACATTTTGTTGGAGAAAAATGAGACATCGATGGTGCTATAACATGTGGGAGATACGATTAGCAAAATAACTCCGATCCAACCAGAGCGAAATCAGAACATAAAAAGAGAAGAAAGTGGAAACGTAGTACGAAGTGAGAACCAAATTCAACTAAGCTGATGCAAGCTGCAGAGAATAAGATATGACGCAATCGCCCTGATAGCGAGCACAAATGCAATAATACAACTGGTAATTTACAACCCTAACCATATAATCTGACACTAATGAACTAATTCCTAACAGAATTTAGAAAAAAAAAAAAACTACAGATGAGCAGCTATTCATATAATACATACATCATATCATATAGACAATATATGTTTTTTAAAAAAAGAAAAGGATTCATGAATTTAGAGTGAATAGTATTAACCTAAGGCAAGAACCTATTGCCGTTGTCCTCCCTTACCTTGATTCTGGCCTCGGATTCCGGAGGCGGAGGCGCAGAGCTGGAGCTCGCCGGAGTCGGGATCCCGCCGCACTTGTCGCAGCGAGAAACCACCAGAATCTGACGGCACGAGGGACAGGAGGAGTGCGATCTGAGCCAGGCGTCGATGCAGCTGACGTGGAATCCATGTCCGCACTGAGGCAGCACTCGGATTTCGTCTCCGGCGGCGAACTCCGAGAGGCAGATCGCACAATCGGCGAATTTGACGGCAGATTCGGCGGTGGCGGTGAGCTTGGGGAGGGAGCGGAGGACCTTCTTCTTGACGCCTTTGTTGGCAGCGGCGAGAGTAGGCTGGGGAGTGGGGGTGGAGGAGAGGCGGAGGCGGCGCAGACAGCCACAGCGCGCTACGGCGACGAGGCCGAGGACGCAGATGAGAGCGCAGAGGAGAGCGGCGAGGATGACGACGAAGTCGGAGTCGACAACTGGTGAGTCGTTGGACGAGTTGCTCTCGCCTAAATATCTGAAGGGACGAGTCATGTGTTCTGAGAGATAAAAAGAGTGTGCGTTTCAAGTTTTGGGCTTCCTTGGTTCAACTGACACTATAATTAACTGCTACTGCGCTACACCTCTCTTCATATTTATAAGGATGTTCCCTCCTTTCTAACTATTCTTTCTTATTCATGCTACTCCCATGTACTATTAAGTAAGAACCATTATTTTATTACCATTTTTTTCAATCTCATTACCATTCACCACATCAAACACCTCAAAATACTCTCAATTAAAATAATATACTGACTCATCAAACCTACCCATCTATTATCACCATACGTGTCTCTAAAATTAATTTCTCATGATACAAAGTCCAGCCTATTCAAATCCACGTTAAACATATCATTTTTCCTATGTTTAAAAATATTACTAATTTAGTTCCTTCAGAAAATGCATTATTATTTTAGTTTCTATTATTATTCATTCGGTATACATGCAATATATTACACTTTTTCAATTATATCTTTTATGTAAAAAAGAAAAAAATCAAGAAAACACTATATGCATAATCATCAAATTAATATATATATATATATATATATATATATATATATATATATGAAGAAATTTCTTTTCTCATCAATATTTTAATAGTATTGAAAATAGAGAAAAATAAAAGTGTTATAATTAAATAATTATTATTATAATTTATGTATTTTAAAAATAATAAAAATATGAAAAAATGGATATATATTAAAAATAAAAAATAAATAAAATAAAAAATAATATTTCAAAAAATTAATTATAAAAAATATGGAAATACAAACATTAAAACATCTGTGTTTTTACTAATTAATATAATAATAATAAAAAAATACGAAAACTACGTAAACAAAAACTAAATTGATGAAATTTTGCTTACATATAAATTATGTCATACATGAATTATAGATTATTATGCTTATAATTAAACATTGTGTGTGAATGAGTTCAACCTAATGATATTAGGTTTTAAGGTTTAATCAAGATCATTTTCGAAAGATCACTTCCTCTTTTTATTTAATCTAAAATTCAATTTAGAATAAACACATATTGACGAGAAAATAATTATATAGTATAATATAAAATAGTTCTATATGATCCAAAAATCATATATGATATTTTTTATCAACTTTTATAATAAACATCTTAAAAATCATTCACAATAAATTTTATATTACGCAATCAATTCAATTCATACTATGTTATACACCCCCTTTCAATTCTTTAACGTGAAAATGTCACGACAAAGATGCATAAATGACTTTGACTTTAGGGCACAATCGTCTTAGGTCACCCAGGAAATTACCATTGGATAATATAATTTAACATTTAGTCAAAAGTGTTTTAGGAAAAAATAAAAAAGCAAAATTAATCATTACAGGATAAAACTACTTTACCTTTCAACTTTTAAATGTTTCCCGTCTATAAATTAATCTTAACATAAAGAACGAATTTTGATTTAATTCCTATAAATTTTTCCATAGTAGTTATAATATATATATATATATATATATATATATATATATATATATATATATATATTTCTTTATCCTTTCATTAATAGTAGAGAATTCATCCAATTCCAGCTCATGACATCTTATAGACGCAGTGAATAATTTTATTTTAACACAAATTAAAAAATGATATTAAATTTACGTGCGAACTTCATTTTCAGCAAATCACGTTAGTTCTTCATGCAAAGTAATTTGCATGACTAAACATAAATTTATGCACAATCTTTTTTAAGGCAGACTTAAGGTTAGGGTGAGAAACAGAACACGTCTACAAAAAATAAAGGACAAGCAGAACACGTCTACATAAAAAGCTCTCGGCACTTCTCACAAGTCATATCTCACGTTCCATCTTCCTTTGTAATCGGCATTTATTGTCCAATTGTTCTCCCTAATCTGAAGGTAAGGAACCTGAAACAAGAGTTTCAAGATGGAACATCGCATTAAGAAAACATGAATAATATAATAGCATGCCAAAATTGAGGAATGGTACATTGAACTACATCATTAAATATCAAAATATCTTCTACAAAATGACACCTAACTGCAACTTCACGGATTATGCTAATTTCCTAATTCCAGAAAACCATTGGTTGCTACCAGACGAAACATCAACAACAGAATACCGTAATTTTTCTGTATTTGTATTCGAAATAAATTAATGAGATTGATATAGAAGGCTAGGTATTCAGTTACATCCTTTCCACTTAAATCGACTAATCCATGTGTCATAATTCAATTCAACAATTCAATTAAATAGGTGCTAAAAGTAAAACTATTTTCCCGATAAAATTCATGCATACATTATTTTCAATATTTTACCTTTTTACAATTAGATTGCAGTCGTGTTTCTTGATATTACGGAAAACCATATATATAAATGCAGTCAATGCAATAACAATTGCAGTCACATTGCGATGGCAGGCACCGCCGAATACCTTGATATTGTGGCCTAAATTATGGTTACTGGTAGAGCAAGAATATAGCGCTACAACTAGCTAACACAAGAACAAATTCTAATAAAAATGATTCTTTCATGACCTTTTCATTCAACCATAACAGAATATATAAGTCCAATACAATTTTTTTGCACGCTCGTAGGTTAAAAAGGGATATAAGCAAAAAGAATAATTGCAAATGCAAGACGGTTATAATAAAAGTGTTAGTTTAATGCTGTATATTCTAGACACGTGAGGTCAATAACATGGCCTCAACCGCATTGCCTTCAGTTACAGACCATGTTTGTAAAACATCGCAGATAATTATTTACTCAAGACAGTTCAATCTAGTTCTAACTCACTAGTCTTGTACAGAATCAAGAAACTCAAATCCAAAATAACACTGGCGGAGACTGAGAGAATGATAGAAAATAAAATAAAAGTAAGGGCAGAAAAGGGATTTCTAGGCGCTGAAGGGAAAATGGTTAGTGAATTCAATGGGCTCACAGAAGACTTCCCCAAAGATGGACAGGAAACATAACAATTCAGCAGCCACTGTATCACAAAACTACCCAAGACAACATCAAATTTCAGTAGTTATTCACCACGTAATGAGAAAACTCCATCCAACTCAAAATCATAGTCAACATAGGTGATTACCATGTTGAACTACAGCGTGGTAATCGCTACAGCATTAAGTGATCTGACTGGCCTTACCGCACGAAAAGATACCACCACACAATACTCTTCTCATTTTAATTTGGTTTTCTTTCTCCATATTTTCAATCCTTCCAACATATTATGCCATCTACACAATAATGGGGTAAAGGTGTACCCTCTAATTTAACAAGATGGACATCGCTAACCACAAAGGTGGTTTTACATTTTCTACCACGATTTCAGTGGCAATATCAGGATTTTTGGACTCTCTACGACCACATTGTCCACAATTTCAGTCACAGAATCAAGGAATACAAGCCGCCACCACAATTTAAAACATCGCTATCACCAAAGCAGTCTTGTCATCACCAAATTCAGTTAAAGGAACACAGTTTAAGGGGTAAAACAAATTGAGTTTTTATATAGTACAAGATAACAATAGAATAAGGTGTAGACATGTCATCGCAATCATGGTTATAATATTTGCAAGTTGTAATGGAGAGGAGAAATAACTAAAACCTGTTCAAAAATTTCGTATCCAAGCCTAAGTCTAATATCTTGATCCTTCTGAAAATTGAACAAGTTCCACGAAAATTCGGCCGCTCCTCTGGACTTCCTCTGCAAAATAAAAGAATGTAGCCATTTTGGAAAACCGAAATGGCCAAATTTAACCTAGGAATACAGAAAAGACTAAAACACAAAATTGAAGGGAAATGAAAGCATGTAGGTACCTCTTTAAACTCCTTGTCAACATCACATACTCCCTTGATTTTAAAATTGAGAAAGCCGTCAAGTGTGACAGGAAATGTTTTCTTTGCACTTATAGTGTAGCGCAACTTTTCACGCTTATCATATCGCACTCCCACGCCAAGGGTTGCCGATAACTACAATTGAGTCAGAAGGAATATAAACAATTAATGTAAAATATCGTTTGAATTTGAATAAGGGGAAGGGCGCGGCATGGTGCAGCGATTCGGTTAAAATGAACAGAAAATGAAGACTCACATTTGGATAGAAATGTCTTATTATGGCACTGGATGAACTCGGTTGTCCAAGTTTTGTGTCAAGCTCTCCGTGCACCTGAGAGAGAAGTACATGGGTAAAATCAGAGAAGGGGAAGAAGATAACTCGAGTGGAGTGTGTTTGTGGAGTGACATGGATTACCTGGAAGTAGGTGTTGGAGTCGATTTGGAGTTTTTCCTTGGCATGGATTCGTAGAGCTTTGGAATCTTCTCCGTATCGCAGAGAGGTCTCCATTTCCTTTCTGGATAAAAACAGTGTTTTTCGCACCGGTAACTCCAATTTTAGTTATTACATTTTATTTTATTAGATACAACCCTAGTAGTAGTCCTGCGCTGCATCTGTTTTCTTTTTTCTTATGTATGGGCCTTTTCAGTCCAATTTCATTGACAAAAAGCCCAACAATTACTCATTTTGTTTCATTATGCACTCTGACAAATGATCAAGCCTTAACATGAGATTTTATTGATGCGTGAGGTTAAGTTGAAAACTTACTGTCTCAAGTCAGTTTGTTTTAAAAAGGTCCTTGGTTCAACTTTTTTATTTTTTAAATTGCTGAAAATTTAAATTAAAAAGAACATACTTATGAATAAAATAATAAAAAGAAAGAAAATAAACAAATAAAGATATTTAAATAAAATGTTATTGGTTGTTTTACACATTTTACTTGGGAGAATAAAATCGGAAGCTAATTTGCCTAGCCACTCGTGTATTAACATGAAATAGAGAGAACACCAGATATAATTTCCATGCCAAAATTGATCATCCAAATATATTTGTCAATACGATAATACTGCTTAAAATTGTTCACATAATTAACATATTTTCATAAATAGGCTAGTGTTTACTTAGAAAAAATCTTGAAAAAAACTTTCTATGTTGACTTTAATTTTTGTAACATTTAATCTTATGTTGAAACAAATGTAATAATCAAAACCCACTCCATTGCGAACCACCCTCCCTCTCCGCAACCCCCGCGACCCACCCACATCTTGATTAGGAAGGGTGATCAGGGAATGGGGTGAAAACAATTGACACATTAGAATACATGGAACAGTTACAAAACTCTCGTGGAAGATATGCCAATGTCTCCCACACTAGCCGTAGCATTGTGCATTTCACTCAAACGATTTACACAACTTGGAGAGGGCGGGAGACAACTTGCAGGAGAGGGTCTGAGGTATTGACGAGCATTTAGGAGTAGTGAATGTAATCAGTGTTTTCGCATAAACACAGATATAAAATTAGCGATAATTATGATCGAGATTTAATGCTAACTGTTCCATAAATTACTAGTAGACAATAGAGTGCAACAAAAATCCGACCCACTGATGTATCACAAATCTCTCCACAATTATCAAACCGCAATAAACTTCTGACCTAAATGAAGTAAAACAAGGTCAAAATGGGAGCATATTATCATCTCTAGCAGCATAGTCACATGTCATATCTCATCAATCAAGTCCATAAGATCGTCAATCTCCCGTCTCAAAGCAGTAATCTTCTGCTGATATGAAGCAATCCGATTCTCAATTTCCCTTCCTCCCAACTTCTTCTCATAGCCTTCTACAGCTGTAGTGTGTTTCAATATAAGTTTCTCCTGCAATTCTCTCTCCTTAGTAACAAGTTCCTCCACCTAAAAAATAAATAAATTCAGTAACTACAAATCGAGAGAGAAAATAATCCATGGAATAAAATATTTATAACATAACCTTTGGTAATATTTGAGCAGCTTGTGGAGAAGATTGCAAAAATGCTAATGGTTGCTTCAACTCTTTAGAGAGCTCCTTCAATGAGCTATCTACCGATTTTCGAGTTGCTTTACAGGCTTGAACATCTCCTGTCCTAGAAAGTTCGTGCAATGATGTTTCTAGCTTGTCATGTGCTGTCAAGCAACGATTAATGATACCATGGACTTGCTGAATAGTTGCTTGCACCTGCATAGCGAAACACAAGGATACATTGAGTACTCATTCAATTGCACATACTGGATTTTACACAAGATACAACAAGTTGATTACCTCGTCCCACTGGAGTTTTGCCATATAAGATGCAGAAGATTTGGAGATTGATATATCTGCATGTGAGTAGACAATGCAAGCAACAAACAGAAAGAAAAACCCAGAAATCAACATCAAAGGCTCCCTGAGCATAGAAAGACTGTTGAACTTATAATAGACCTGCAATACAATGTCAATTAGTCTACCTAATCAATATCAGAAGGAAAAAAAAAATATTGTACACTAACTAAGCAAATCATAATTATTCTTGTTCCCGGTTCTTGTTTCTATCTAATGGTGTATACTTGATACAATGAATATATATATATATATATATATATATATTGACAAAAACAAAATCCAATTATAAATACATTGGTAGTGAGCACCGATTCAATAAGGTGACCAGCAGTCCATGAAATTAATGGATATTAATTTCTCTTGGAATAAATATAAGAAATTTTTACTCTTGTCGTGTTTTTCATACTCTGAGTAGTGCTAATATCACCCTTGAAAACATGACCTTTGTAGATCATACTAAGTTTAAAATGCATTCTGTTTTTTTGGTGGCTACATATTACAAAGTTGGCACTTTTAGCTTCATTAAAAGTGCTATATTAATACCTGAAAATGCTCATTATGCTCAGGGACAACATTGTTCTTCTCCAGAACAACAACAGGTCTACCGACAATATCCAAGTGGGAAATCTTCGTCTGCAACAAATTACATGAAGGACTATAAAACCTAATGAAGGGAATGGAAAAGCTATGATTTGATGGAAGATACCAATATAGCAATACCTCCTGCCATTCTTTCACAGGAAATGGAACAGATACTGAAATGTCTTTAGAACCCTCTGGCAAAACAACCTGGAATTCACAAGCATTATGTAGATGTTATTGTAATTCAATCTTATAATACCACAAGAAACAGACAACAATGAAAGAGGAAGAGAGTAGGGAAAATTGAAAAAAAAAGAATTCATGTTAAAAAATTTCCAATTTAGGATCAATTAAATACTCACAAGTCAATAAGTGGTTACTTGTTAACAACTCAGGTACCAAGTAATTAAAATTCACAATTATATTCTAATAATTAAATCATGGACAACAAAAGCTTTCATATTAAATATATATATATATATATATATATTACACGTCACACTAACAAATTCTCGATTGTAAAATCACCTTCCAAGTTTCCAACCAACAAAAATGAAAAATAAAAAGAGAAACATATATTATCAAGACAAAAAATAAATTCGGTCACCTTCACAAAAAGATTGTCAATCACCAACTCATTAATAGGGGCACCAAAAGTGATATTAAGGAAGCGCTTTCCATCCAATCCAAATAAGAAGTCCTGAAGTGGCAAGCCATATCCAATAGTAAAGGCAATTTTCCAGCCACCAAACATAGGGTACCTAGGTTCAATCTCCAGTTCTGTCTGCGATTTGTAAAGAATTATAATTTTTGGTAAATGCTTTATAAACAGTATTTCACAGTAAATATCTAGCAAATGTAAAAATATCCACCTTTTTTGAGTCACCCCATAAACTGGAAGTGGAAATGTTGCCAATTTCATCCCTGTAGTACACAGAATGAGCTCTTGGTGGCAGCTTGGCAACAAGATGCCTAAAGGCTGATGCACCCCTTAAATATGGCTTGGTCTGATAGTCAAGCCTGCAGGAGAAAACAAACTATCATCACATGCCAAACTGAAACAATCAAATAACAAAGAATCAAAGAAACAAGGATACCTAGAAAATTCTCCTTTGCTCTGAGCACCAGCATGAATAATATCATAATGCTCTGTGACCTGTACATTGCCCCAGTGAGAAATTTCAATCTCTCGCACCAACTCTTTAGCAACAGCAAAGGGTTGGTTATTCTCAAAGTGAATAACTATTGGTAAGAATGAGAATGGAGGAAGATTCTCATATGGACCATATTTTAATTCAGATCCCTGAAGTTTAGCATTTTCTAGTTTAGAATACGACTCTATTCTGGCATCAGGCAACTTAACAGTGAGTGATTGGGCCTTGACAGCATATGGAGAGAGATACTGTGCACTCTCTTGAAATAGTAGAAGTTGGATGTCAGCCTGGTTGATTTTCTCTGGAAATGGTTGCAATATGTGGGTATAAACGGCCAAGACATCTAACGTCAAACTACGTCCCTTCCCAAGCCCCTTTGGTAAAGATACGGAATAAATTGTCAAGGCAGGAGGTACATCTTTAGGGTGGATAGCTTCAATGGGCAAACCAACACCAGAAGATGTTTTTACTTTACCCTTCCCTTCGCTAAGTGTTGCTTTCAAGTATGCCAAGTGCTTTGCCTGGTTTTCAGGAAAGGACAGCAAAATCTCAGAGACAACATCAGATCCCGCATTCTCCACCTGCAAAAAATGGACAGGAATTGTGTCATAAAGTGAAGATGATTGGAAAGAGAAGTATATTAGATTACGAAAGGAGATAGAATTTGGCAATTGGCATGCTAAGAGAAATTATATTGGTAAGAGACTTTAACAACAATTTTTTTTTTTTTCAAATTTAAACCTCTAAACTTAAGAAAGAAAAGATTCAGTTTTAAAACAATTTATTATTTAGTCTAAGTTTCTAAACTATAGTTCATGTTGTGTTTCTTCCAGAAGTTAGGTTGCCATTTACCCATACCTTATGCGTGTCTTTGTAATTTACAGTTAAGCTTAAATAATATACATTATTGAGGTAAACTACAATGTTTTGGTGACAAGTAGAATAAAACTCTCACAAAAAACTCAAGAAATTACACTAAATAGATGAAGAATAGAAATGAATGGTGTTTTGAGCACCTTTAGTGAAGCAGTGATGCGCACAATTTGTGATGTCAGATCAATCTGCGAAGACCGGAAAAAATTTGTCAGAAGAAGCATACGCCACAATTAGAAGATACAGACAAGTGAACATGTACAAGTACGAAACAAAACAAGCAGCTCTGAATCCTAAATTCATAGAATTATACATAATCAACACGAAACATAAGCATACATTGAAAAGAATAGAGGCAAGAGATATGTAAATAATGTGGATCGGAGGAAATTTGATATGTCGCGGGTCACTCTGGATTTAAAATCGAAACCCTTGGGAGTGCAATTGAACGGGGAATGTTAGTGGACTGAGTCTATTGTAATGTGTTGCGAAGAAACGAGAAAGATGCGAGATCGAAACCCTAATAGGTGAAGAGAAATCAGAATGTGAGGAGACTTACACGACGGTCAACCTTGGCGAGGATCAGATCCGAAGCAGAGAGCACAGTCGAAGACAGAAAGACAAATGCAAGGACAATCGGAAATATAAACAAAAGCAGATTCGATCTCATCATGCCGCTTTTCATTGTTTTCTTTCTCTTCTTCTTCTTCTTCAGCTTGATGCAGCGTCAACTCATTCACTGCACTCGGGACCAAACAGCCCACAAGAAGCTGATGTTTTCCTCGTTCAACTCCACTCCACTGTATGTAAGAGAGTAATTTAACACTTTGCATTTCTGTTAATGAAAATAATAATAAAATTAAAATAATAAGCTCAACTTAGTTTCTTGTACAATAGAATTAAAAGTTTCACCATATACTAGTATTAATTAATCTAAATGAAAACATTCAATACAAAATAATTTGAATAAAATAATTGATGGATTTTTTGCTTTCAATATTGTATATATGATTAATTTAAATATGTGAAATATTATTAAAAAATATTTATAAGTTATTAAAATTGCACTAAGAATCTATAACTTATACCGAGTTTTAGGTTTAAATTTTATAACATATTAAAAATTAAATATGTCTGTTATCAAATTAAAATTTTGGTAAGACATCAACAATGGTAGAAATGTATTTTTTTTTAATTCTTAAAAAAAATTGAAATCAAGTAGAAATTTTCAATTCATTTGTTTTTTAATTAGAATTTTAATTTTATTTTATTGCAAATTTCTTTCTTTCTATTTGTTTTATTCTAAATTTCTTCGTTCGAAGTTAAGTAAAAAATTATATTATTTTCCCTTTTTATAATAGATATTTCATATATTTGATACATAATATGTAAAATTTAATATAATTCCGTATAAAGAATCAAAACAACGTGAAATAAAATATTATTAATTGGTAATAAAATAAAATTTGTGCATTACATAAAATAAAATAAATTTTATTATCAATAAACAAAAATATAATAGATTAATATTTCTAATACATAATAATATTATGATTAAAAAATATAAAAAATTAGTATAAAGTTCTTTAAACTGAAATTAAGGTTAGTTTTTAAATTGATTGACTGTGTAAAGAAATTTATATTGACAACGCAAATTTATAATTTCTTACAAAAAATTAGTAAATAAATTACTTAAAATAAAACATATATTATAATTAATTATTTAATAAATAAATATATCTTATTATAAAATGATAATTTAAATTTACAATGGACTAGTATTTAACAAGTGCAATGTTATAGATAGATATTTTAAATATAAAAATCATATTATAATCAAAACTAGAGTTAAATAAGTTTATGGTACTTTCAAATTGACTCCTATTATTAAAATTGGTATCTAAAAAGAATCAATATTTTTAATACCAAACATTTAATAATACATGTTAATTTGATCTTGATAATTACTCCGCCAGTTTTAACCATTTTACACATGTTAATTTTGATGGTGCTGAGATTTAATAACTTATTTAATCCGAAAAATTTATAATAAATAAAATAAATTATATTTTAAATTTGTGATAAGTAATTTACATGACATGTAATGTTTTTTTAATTATTGATAATTCTACCAATGATATTAAAAATTCATTAAGAAATGAATATTAGAAAATTATATTGAAAATTTTCTAAAAATATTTTCATTAAACACACTTGTTAAACAATAATTACTAAAAATGTTTTATTCAGCTATGAAGAACAACTTAAAATATTATATAAAGGTAATTTAGCAATATATTGAGCTTAGTTTAGTGATAGAGATAAAAAAAAGTTAAATTGAAAGAAAAATACTTAAATCCTCCCTATATTATATGTAAATGAGATTGAAAACTATGCATGGTTAAAGCAAAACTCTCTCAAATTAACAACTAACTACTTTGCTAAATCAGATAACACTGTTGTATTTACAATAAAAACAATTAAAAAATTGTATCTTATTTGTACTTTTTTCTTCTACCATCATATAAAAAAGTAACCCTAAAGTATACTCTTTCTCCTAAATAATTCCTAAAATAATAAAACTACATAAATAACCCTTAAATACTGAATATGCATCAGTTTAGCACATAAGTTGACATATTAAACTATCATACAGAAATCGATATGAAAAAAATAATGAATACATATAAGATTACTTAATATGATTTTTATTCTTAAAATATTACTTACATAATTGTTGTTCTTTAACAACATTTAGAAGAGAAGGTAATACTTCAAAAATGAAATGAATGGTTTATTTTTATCTATCTATCTATCTATCTATCTATCTATCTATATATATATATATATATATATATATATATATGGAAATGCAATGAATATGAAATATCATTTTTAAAATAGCAGAGGATGAGTCCAATTACAACTTCAAAAGAAAAAATACATAGCTTCTCACCATACTAAAAAACTACAAACCGTTTGCTTGGACGGGTAAAGAAAATGAGGAAATGGGGAGTTTTGAAATTAGAATGAGTGAGAAAATTTAGAAATTTGTGTTTCTAAAAGTAAAATTTTCTTTCTTCTCAATCTTATCTTCCTCTATCCAAACAAAGGAAAGAAGACAATAACAATAAGTGAATGGAAAAAGAAATAGCCGCAGCCTCATAGGGTACAAATTCTGAAGTTAAATTATCGACAGCTGCAAAAGAATGGAGTGGAGCTCACTCTAGTCTTCAGGTAACTACAACTTGCAGAAGCTCAACATTGAGTTCAAATGTAGCTCCAGGCTGCAACGCCATAAACAACTTTTAACAAGCACATAGTGTAGGTAAATCATTTTCATTAAAATGAACATAGTACCTGCTTGGATACAACAAGCGTTTTCGAAAGTTTCTTTACAGACACTGTCAGACTTATTATATTCGAATACTCTTCTCATAGACAGTAATATGGGACTACATAAACAATAGGGTGCAGAACTACATAATCAGTAAAGTGTTCGATTAAGAACAAGGATAGTGTGACAAAGTTAGCAATAAAATTTTAACGACCATGCTCTCCCTACAAGCCACATATTCATATACATGTTTTTGTTATCTAGAGGTATTTATCGGTCGATTTTTTTTATTAGTTAAAACTAGTTAGTTTATGCATAAGTTAATTTATAAAAGCATTGCATATGACTTTTCTTATTTGTAAATAAGCTAATTTTAATTTAAGGAAACAAATATTTTTTATTTTTTTCTTGTTAAATTTCTAATGGAGAAGTTTGTCAAATCATGTCCCTGAGATTGATACTGATTCAAGAAAATAGAATTGAACAGGTAAGAAAACAATAAGAGGTAATTACCGGGATCTCATTCATTCCCTTTTGTCCATAACCATTTTCAGGAGGAACAATCACAGTTCGCTGCAACCATTAAAAATAAGAACATAAAAAGAATGACTCGTGAGTAAACTAAGAAAGAACAGTATTAGAATAAAACAAAACCACAGAAAGTCACCTTTCCACCAACTCGCATTCCTTCCACTATTGAATACATAGCAGGTGGAGGTCTGGGAGCTGCTTGAGCAGAGAATAAACCATTTGGATTGTCAACAAAGTCCCGTTTCCTTTCCTTTCCCGGAGGAGCTCCCACCCTGAATTCGTACGGCTTTAAGAGAACAAAGCATGCACTCATCAGCACCAAAACCAGCACCAGCACCAGCACCAGCACCAGCACCGGCACTACTCAAGTAAAGTAAAGCAACCCTCGTACATTCTAGATGACTTTGTAGACAAAATTTAGAAAGAGGAAAAGGTTAAAAAACCTGAGCAATGATACGATTTCCCGCTAGGAGTTTAGATTCTCGACTGGATACAGCTGTGATCCCGCGATATAAGCAATCAAAGTGCACCTGTCAGTGAGAACTAGAAATGAAAAGTAAACAAGAAATAGAAAAGCAAAATGAGATGCTGGCACTTGAAAAAAGCCCACAAAGTGTACCTGAACGGTGGTTCCTTTTTCAGCTACTGGACCATTTCCCTCAACCAAATCATAGTATTTCAATCCATCAGCTGAATTTAACATCACATTTAGGATAAACTGAACTTGTTGGCTATGTATAACCGTAAGTTACAATTAAGTTTTCTTTTGCGATAGATAGAGATTCAAGGGAAAATCGAGGGAAATAGAAAGGGAGGAACTAACGAGTTGTAATGTATTCCTCTTCGGGGATTGTCTTCTTGTTGCGTCTGGCTTCCGCTGGCGGAGAGAGGAAAAGGAAGGTGAAAGGCAACGACGAAATGAGAAGCGCCGTGGATCTTCTCGAAGCAGAAACTGAGAGTGGCATGGCGAATTGTGCGGACCTGATTCGCTTTGAATTTGAAAGCATGGTACCTCCATAATCAATGCTCCAATTCGTTGAATTAGAAGCGCAAGCGCAAGGGGAAGAACTCATTGCCAATACTCTTTCACTCGCTCCACACACGCTTCACCTTCACCAACGCGGTTTTTCTGTCACCCTATCCGCTCCTCATTTTCTCTTAGGTCAACTTACCCATTTGCCCCTTTCTCTATTTCTCATTCGTCTCATGTGAATTGAAGTTTTGGTGTTTATTTTACTTATTGTGTGTCATCGTTGGTAATGTGTGAAGAATTGCGCTTGTTTCACATCAATAACTATTAAGCATAATAGTTAGTTCTTTTACAATAGAATGATTAATTTCAAATCCTAATCCAACTATACACAAATATGCATCCAAATACATTTTTTATGACAAATCTATAAACTGCGGCTTGGACCATGATATTGATGAATTCGCTTACAAGCATGTATGAATGTGTATATGTATATATTATATATTTATGTATATATATATATATATATATATATATATATATATATATATATATATATATATATATATATATATATATATATAACTAATCTAAGCTATGCTACAGTATAATGAATACAATAGCTAATTCTATTTAACCTATGTCAAACAATCCCAAGACATGATGATGCATTGTAGTGTTTTTAATTACATTACAGCAGCCTCAGTTGGTGGAAGAAGATGTTGTGTCACGGTCCACTGAGAAGGTCACGGTTATCAAAGGTTTCGTTATCAACGCTGGAGACGATGGTAGCGCTCTGGGAAGCCATTTCTGTATCTTTGGGTGGTTGTGATGGTGGGTGCGGCGAATGTTCCGGTGTATGATCTCCCGGGCTCCCACCTAACGTTCGGGTTTCGTGGCGTCCTTTTGAGTTCTTCTTCTTCAGAGCATTCTTATGCCACTGTTTGAGCGCCCTCGATGTTTGATCATCAAATATTGACTTCTTCATCGTCGACCCCATCTGGAACAAATTCAATCACAACACAGTTACTTCTCCTTCCTCACTTTTTTCATGCAATTTCCTACAACTAGCTCCATTAATTTCTTATTTCATGTTCCTATGTGAAATTACTTTGCTACTACTAAAGGAATAAAACATGATAAAAATGAAAACAACGGGTTTAATTGTATTTTTTTTCCTTTCTGTTTTCTATTCTGTGAATTTCATTCTTGTTTTATTTTTATTTTTTTTATAGTTTGATCTTCTCTCATTGTACAATTTCATTCTATCGGTTAACTTGGATATTGAATATGAAATTAATAAATGAACCTAAATTACGATAAACCAAATTTGTAAAAAAGAAAATAAAAATGAAGGAAAATATTAGTGTGATATTGAAAAAATAGAACCCAAATTTTTTATTAAGCCAAAATCATAATAACATGTGAAGTATGAAGTATGTAGTAAATGCACCTGAGTAACAAGTGCATAGAGTGGAAGTGTGACATAACTGCAAACGACTTGAGCTCCTAGCCTGCAAAATTGAAGTTAAATTATTAATATGTGATGGGATCCTGTGTTGTAAATGCTGCAATGGTATCTGGCTGTATCAGTTTAATATTGGCAATTCAAGGTATTACATAAAGGAATATTCCTTCTTTTGTGGTAATGTTAAGTGTGACTAGTCCTTGTAAGCATCACTGTCATAGACAGGACTTACCCAAGAGCTACTCTGATAATCATGAGACGATCATCCTCGTAAAAGCAAGATGCCCATCCAAATTCATACTGCGCCAAAAGGAAGTGATTTAAGGATTCTAGAATCAAAAGGACAATGGTGAGAAGAAGACAATTGGAATTATGAAGTGTTCATTACCCATGACCACCAGAAGTATGTCAGCTCAAATGCATTCTGGAAATGTTAGACCACCAAGTTGTGAGAAATTCTTCAAATATTCAGGATCTCAGATATAAGATACTAAATTGTTAAAAAAGGAAAAATTAATGACAGAAATCTGTGTACCTGAAAGAGGACATAATGGATAAGATAAAGAACTAACTGAGGCCATGCAAACCAAAAGTACTTGTCAGAGACTTGCACTAGAGGGATCCCCTGCACTACAGCATGCCTTTCTTTTATGTCAAGTGCCATTCGAGTAATAATTGCTTGAAGCTTTGTTCCAACAGCCAGAATCACCTTCAAGTTAATAAATTATTAGTCGTCTTGTGTTTTTTTTTTAATCTAAACTAAATACACACAATTGACTGTGAAGATATATCTGTTCACCAATAGTGGGAGAAAAGACACCCAAAAAGAAGCATGCCATCCTGAAAAGTAGTTAGCAATTTCTTTCAGTAAGAATTTGAGTGCAAAATAAGTAAACCTATAAGTAGGTGTGAGACAAACCATGGACATTCACAAGCAAGAATAACACTACCGATCCCCAAAGTATTGGACTGCCAAAAGCACAAATGTATCCATTAGAAGAAACCAAAGATTAAAGATTCAGGAACAAAGTATCTCCTAACATCATGACTCCATCAGGTTAAATCACTAGAACACATAAAACCAAAATCACGGCGAACTTGCCAAAATTACCTGATTCCTACAACTACCTTAAAGTCATCTTCTAATGACCTCTTGATATATTTTTGAAAATCAAACTTACTTCCCGGTGCTAAATGGACCTGCGAAAATGAAGGAGGCATTGTTAATGAAAAAATACAACAGTGCAAGCAGAATACTAATGCTGCATAGTGAAAATTACTAACAGTCACAAATCCATGTCTCATGGTCAAGTAGTCAGCCCTACGAACAGATCTGAAAAATTGTCGAAAGAAGCATACCTGAAAATTGATCACATGTTTTTGAAAGTGAATTACAGCAAAACATGAAACGACTAATATGATGTTAACATCACATTTTTGTTCCCCGTCTATCTTGGTATTCTATATTCTAGGGTGCTTTAGATGTACGAGAGCTATCTTGACTCAATTTATGAGTTGCCAATCATATGTACCAAAAAAAAGGAACCAACCTCTATCTTCTTTCCATATACCGAGAATTGGTTTCTAATGTTTAAAGAATACAGCTTCAATATGTCTCACAACGAATTACTCATAAAAGAATGAATACTCTAGCAGTGGACATAGTGAGATTTTCTGTACCAAAAACCTAGATTTGAGGTATTTTTGGTGATTCCTTCTATAAACTAACAATCTAATTATGAAAAAGAGTTGCCAGTGATAATTGCTTACGAAATAGAAGGAAACCGGTGTTTTAGTCCAGAAGCTACTGTGATCCCTCACAAATGATGTCTCGTGAGTAAGTCTGAATCTTCTAGGATCTAAACAGATATTACACAGCCAATTCAGAATGTTAAAATTATGAAGACCTAGTACTAATGAAACTTGAAGCTGGAATAAATTATTAATGATTCATTGCTTTATACCATTCAAGGCATCTTCATCAATGATATGGTCCTCCTCCCATGCCTTCCACCCACGAATCTGTCAGAAGAAAGAAAGGCTTTACTATATATATATAATGAAAAATCGATTCCCCCATTGGTTTACATATTGTCTGATTGCTTGAATGAATCAAGATTTTTAGGCCTGAATCAATACCAACCTTTGCTCTTCCAAGGGTCATAGTTATGGCACTGTATATCACATGGAAGACAGCCAAGAAAAATATAAAAATGTGTAACTGATGCAATCCGTTCACTGATATAAGAGGCAGGTACCCCTACACAACCAAAATTCAATGGCATGAGATTTTCACAAACTTGAAATATCTGACCTAAATGGAACAGTTGCAACTACTCTGATGTGGTGCAATCTGAAGCTTTACTACAAGTGGAAGTATTAAAATGTTTTTAAAGCATCTTACATGATATGAAGTTGATTCAATTTATTCAGGGTTTCAACTTCATGATCTAAACATGCAACTGCTTTAAATATTTGCTACTAAAGTTTTTATCTCCTACAGTAATTTTATCCATCTAAAGAGTGTCTAAATATATATATATATATATATATATATATATATATATATATATATATATATATATATATATATATATATATATATATATATATATATAAGTTAGATTGGAGAGTTGGTTACCGGTTTACAACTGGGGCCTCCACCACCACCAGATAAAAACCTACGATCATATGATAAAAGTCTGCGGCGATGGCCACCTCCGTCAGTGTCATCCCCTCCTTCATCTACCTGAGGTTCAATTCCATGTTGGGTTGAACCACCCTCGCCAAGTTCGGTTGCAGCACCTGCTCCATGATCGGTTGTAGCACCTGCTCCATGATCGGTTGCAGCACCTGCTCCATGATCGGTTGCAGCACCTGCTCCGTGATCGGTTGCATCACCTGCTCCGTGACCCGCTCCATGTTCGGCTGCTGCAGCGCCTCCGCGTTGGTTAGGGGGAAGGCATGGTAGCATTGTGTGTGCATACTTTTGGGGAATACACACTTTAGAAATGTAGTTTTGCCCAAATGTTAAAAGCAGAGAAATAAATCCCAAAACCATAAGCTCTGCATGGCAACAAACACAATATTTCGTTACTAATGGGGACAAACAAAACAAACAAGAAAAGCATTAGTATTAATGAGGTTGCTCACCGGCTTTAATCTTTTCAAGAGCTTCTAGCAATGCATGCTTCTTTTTTTCTTCAAACACCTGAAACCAATAACAGGGAGATTGATTCATGAATCATACGAATGAATGTATCAAGAAAAATGATGTTATCGTTATACCTCTGCGAATTTGTGTATGATTTTTTCCAGGAGTATAGAAATGATAACGATAATTGCACAAACAGCAGCGACAGCCCATGTGGGCGTGAGATCTAGCTGCCTGTTGTCACCGCCTCCTCCTCCTCCCGACATATAAATAAAATGAAAAAAATTGTTGGGAAGAAAAAGATTGTGATGAGCAGAAGTTAAAAGCTAATTAACGGAGTGTGTGTTGAGAATGAAATTCAGAAGATGGTTGTTGGATGGCATCGTTGATTGTGTTGATGCAATGCAAGGGTGCGTGAATGGAAGGAAGAGTTTTACTACGTTGCATGCAACATTCTAATAGCAGTCCAAAATGAATGGAGAGGAACAACTGACGCTTTCACCCATATGTTCCCATCCCATTCCCATTTTATTCTTCTTGTAACTTCCTTCCCCGCCTCTAGTTATTTTATCTTATACCTACAAAATGCAAAATATTACAAAATCAAAACAATTCTAAATTTTTCTAAATATCCCCTTGCCCGGGACTCCATAATGGATCTTAATTACATTATTATTTGATAAATTAGCAGTATTGACTTAATATTGTTAACAATTCTATGCTCAATTTTTTTTTCCATTGTTCTCGCGTACTTCAAACTTTCAACGTAAACCATAACATTTTTTCTTAATTTTTTTCATGGAAAAGTAAAAATTAGTGGATAGTGTTCATTCCACGTGTAATTACACAACTAGAGAAGTTGATAAACTGCTAATTGGAACGTATGTAACTTTTAAACTGAAAGTGTTTGATATTTTTTTAATAAAATATTTAATAAAAAACATAGATAAACAAATATATATACACACATCTATGTATAAATTCCATTTATGCTTTATAGACCAAAGTAATTGCTTATCTTTATCTTGAGATAAATATCATTAAAATTAAAATAAAGTGTAATAATTAATGTAAATAGTATTTTACAAAACAACAGGAAAAAGAGAAAAACTAGTCCAATTAGCTAAAAAACGTACTTATTTGAGATATAAAATACTCTACATATCCCCGTTCAAATTCAAACTTGAAATGCAATGAAAGTGGTCAAATATATTTGTACAGAAAAAGGTGGTGATCCATTAGTCTGTACAGATGGAAAGACGAAAGTTCAGTCATACCCGAGAAACAAGTCAAATGAAGGACATTTAAAAGGGCTAAATAACATGTTTATAGATTTTTTTTTTATAATTAAAAAAAGGATAAGAAATAGTTGCCGTAACAAATTAATGGTCAAGGAGTGAGGCAATCTAGGAGAACTTGTTTTGCTGGGAATAACCAGGAACAAACACAGGAAGCTGGCCACCTCTATATGATCTTCCTTGTTGAAAATCCCTTAATGTAGAATCTCTATCCGGAATACCTGGTACTGAACTGCTAATTCTTGTCCCCGTGTTTGGTTGTTCATTCACAACGGGACTGCCAAAAAATATAGATCGTCCAGTGTACAATAACTCTGTTCCAGATATCTGGGAACTGCCAGAACCTCCTCTTGATGAGGATGAGACAAAGCGTCCAGCAGCTTGATCCCAAAACACTGATGATCTTCTATTATCTGAAACAGCTAAGCTGTTGCTTCTCATTGGAACACGTGCCACATTATTTTCTTGAACTGGATTCATGTTCCCCTCACTTTCTTTAGCTGATGAAGGGGACTGATTTCCTGATGGTTGTTGATACATGGGGTTGAAATGGTCACTGTTCAAACTTGGCTTCTGCAGTGGCGAAGGAGTAAGGTTTGAGACTTGTGGACTGCTGAAGTTGCTCATACTGTGATGACATGATGCATCTATATCATCCTTGCTAGCTTGACTAGGAGCGTATGAGCTCTTGGAAGGAGATAACCTTGATGTCCCCGCTGTATCATATTTGTTATGAAATCCATGATTGCTAATTGGGCTGCTTCTTCCACTCACATTGCTACTGGATAAATGATCAACATCATATGCATTAGATCGTGAACTAATTGGACGAAGCACAGATGATGATGCTCTGGCTTTAGCAGCTGCCTTAGTTGCCTCATTAGAATCCAATTTCGCAAGTTTCCATGCACTTATCCGCACAGGGCGCTGGTTCAACTTTTTCCCTTTGTCAGGTGGTTGTACTGCATCTGGATCAACAGTGGATGGTAGGCGTCCGGGCTCCAAATGTGGTATAATTTCATCCTGCTTATCCAAGTCCAGATAGTTAATCAATGTAAAACAAAAACTTACTTTATAGCTCAAACTAATAATAAGCGTAGTAGCTGTTGTGGCAGTTCTTAATTGGCATGCATTTTAAAAATGCACTATTCGTGTCTTTAACTGTTCACCTCTAGCAGTTTTTTTATTTCTAACCACCGAAATGCATACTGCATAAGAAAAAATATAGAACATACTGTCCAAAGGTACAACGGCTTCCTCTAATAGAGTTATTACATACTGTGTCTTGCAAATGTTTGTTCTACTCAACCCACCTTTCCTGTCTCTCACCATAATTGTCTAGATGTAATGTTCAAAAATCGGTGCTACATCTTTCAATGAAATTAATGGTCATATGATTCAGGCAATTAGACAGAGATAGCAATACCGGGTGATCCATAAAGATCCTTGGAGGTGTACACCAGGCACCTTTGTACTGCAAACTCATCCCAACGGAGCTTCTTCCACTCATTGCAGTGATGGCTGAACTAGTAGGGGATGATGGTAGACTCTGTTGTTCACCTCCGTCAACTGAAGGACCAGGTGGTTCACTTAGAGTTCTCATGGCAACAACATACTCGTAAGTTGTGATACCCTATACAGGAAAATGTCAACTTCGAACATACATGTCAATAGGAGGAAAGTTCATGAATATACCTTTCGTATCAGGATCATATGGAAAAAGAACAATTCTCCCAACGGCACTGTTGCAAGGAATGAAACTGCCGTGCATATGGCCTATTAAAGGTTTGGAAATTATGTCAATTCAAAGTTCATTGAAGTGATAATTATGAGGAAGGAATTCTCGTTTAAAAACATTATCATTAAGGAACAATAAACTACTCAACTAGTTAATGATGGTGTTCAAATATCGGATAATCATGATTACTTTCAGCTTATGTTGAATAATTTTCAGTAAACATGATTGAGATTTTAAACCAGGAACACTATGCAACGAAAGAATTGATTATTGTAAAGTGTTTCAGATATTCAGTTGAATGTTTTATGTCAATAAACATTATTATATACAATAGAGAATTCAAAATGCATAATTTGACATTTTATGCCTAATAAGGGCTCCCATCAGTAGACAGAAATCAGGATTTTAAGTTACACAAGAGACTTGCATCGGTAGAAAATGCACATGGAAAAGTATATTGAAAGCCAATACAAGGCCCATTATGCACCATTTCTGCAAATAGAACTAGTGAAAGATACAAAAGTAGCATTTGTCAGGTAAAGTTTATTTCAGTTTATCATTAAAAAAAAAAGAAACAGAGAATAAGAAAAAGAGAGCAAATGTACCACTATAGTAGCAAATGGGACCCGAGAAAATCCAGCTCCAAGTTTGTCAGCTATCTGATTCTCTGTACCTCTCTTATCAACGAAGCATCTGACAAGTACTGCAATCCCAACTCCACATTCAACAATAAGCTGTGACATGCGTGAACATTAAGTAAGTAAAAAACAAATTCTAATCTGGAAGGCTTTTTCTTGTAAAACCGATAAACAAAAGGGGGGAGTGCTAGATTCAATATGAGAGCATCTTCATGCAACTTACCCAAACTAGGCTCACTGCCATAAGACACACAAACGTGATATAATTCTTCTTTCCAACACAATTGTTCAACCACTGAATAAAACAAAAGGAAGTAGATGATAATGAATTTTTCAAGAACCTAATAGTTAAAGAAGTCAAGTAAGCAAGTTAAGACAAATGCATGGCTGCGCCCATCTCAAGTCCTGAACATTAAAAGCTAGAGTATACTTCTACATAACGCTGTTGTCATAATCCACTGTCTGCATTGCAACTTGCAAGTGTTACAGGCAAAATAACTTTTAAGAAAAACAACTATCATTGGAGACAATCAGACAAGCAAACAATCTCAAAGGACCGAAGAGGGGGGGAAATTATTTCTGAAAGGAGCACTAATGCGTGTACAAGTGAGAATTAAAAAGTTGACCTGACCACCTTTTCCTTTTATCATCATTATTGTATTAGTATGTCATCAGACCTATACCTCACAAAAAATTACAAGATTGAGCATTTAAAATACCCAAGCATTTACTTGGGGGGTGGGGTTAAAACACAGCTTACCCGACAATGATGATCAAATCCATCAACACATTTGTCACAACTTCGACAATGCTTACTGAACTTGCGTACCTGCAAAAAATAACTAAAAAGATGAAAATGTATAATGGTTTGTCAATACTCTGGTGAGGCATGTCAAGGAGAGAAAACTGTTCACCTAGACATTTTAAAATATAAAAAACAATAAACAAAGTGAGATCAAGGTGATATTTATAATTATTTTTGAAAAAATGTTTTCTCGTATCAAAGAGACCCTGACTTCCGGTTCATTCAGAAGGGTTCTAGTTATTTTTTAACGAACATCAAGCATCAAGAAAGTGTTTTGCCTATAATCATGGCCTTTTTGGGAAGTAAAGTTTGGATTCATCTGCATAGATTTCCATTGAATTCTAGGAATCCATATATATTACAACTTTCTTTCTCTATTTTCCCTTCATCACTTGTTTTTCTCCTTTTGACTGTATTTGAAGCAGTAATGAAAAACAAAATAATATTGTTCAGAAAGCTTATCTCAACCTCAGCATTGCACAAAGTGCAGAACAAAGCATCCTCTTCTCCAGATTGCTGCTGCGGAACAATATCTTCATTACTGCGGCAATCTTCTCTAACAAGAAAACTACAGAAGAAGCATCCAACTTTGGAGCACCAATTTGAATTATGCCGATCAGACATTATCTTGCTCGGTTCTGCAATAGGAGATGCAAATCCTAAATAAATTGTCAAATTACACTGAAATTGCTATCCAAGGCATAGGAAATCATCAATTGCTGCCAACATATCCCAATATATTCCGAACAAGTATTGTTGTCAAATCAATTAAGATAATAAATTTATGACAATCTATCTGTATATGTCATATAGGAGGTAAGTAACAAAGTGACTACATATTCATAATTTCACAAAACAAGTCAAAATCTAAATTAGCAATTCTACCAAACCTACAAAAGCACGTAAAAAAAATTCTTTTTCAACTTATATAGGATTTGTGTGCAGCCATTAACAAGTAACAACTATGTCCAAGTTCCAACAATGTCACTGCCAAATAATTAAATTCGGAGCAGTTATTCATTTTGGTGGTCTACCACTGATTGATGAATCATGTTGAAAGAGACCATATATTTAACAAAAGTCCTAAGTACAAGGAAAATTACAAAATAATTACAAGAGTATAAAGTTACTCTACTTTACATAATAGCTTAACTTATAATCTGCCCTATTCCTATACATTATTTCTAACAAATTTAATGTCAAGAATAAACTAAAAATCAATAGATGCCAGTAGCATTCAAAGTCCAACCTGCCAACTCCTCATCATGTTTTGATCTATTCTTTGATGACTTATCACAGTCAAGCTTTACACCTTGATCAGCAGGATCAATAGCAGTGCATCGAACATAAAGAAAGAACACAGAGAGAGCCTGCGTTCAACATTTAAATACAAGTTAGTGAAGGAATATTGAACACCCTATTTTAGAATGAATATTCCATATGAAACACACACGGGTGGGGGAGAGAGGAGAATCAGAGTATTGCTTACCAATAAAGAGTAAACACCAATAGCCACATACTCATAGATGTCCTTTCCAAGAAAAGGAGCAAAGAAGGCATAATATGCAATAGATAGCAAGAAAAATACTGTTATAGCCACGACCTGTTCATAAATCATAAGAGAAAAGGCTTTATAAGAATAGACAAACCTTCAATTCTAGAGCACGAAACTAGAATAATACTTGGCACATAAAATATGTTTCTAATCGCTCAAAATATTTCAAAACATCGCCTTCAGCTCCCAAAAAAAAAAAAATGCTTTAGTCCCGGTAGTGATAGACCCTCATCAGGGATGTGTTGCTGCTGTTAAAATGCAGGGACAAAAATGCTATTTTACCCGAGAAATCATCACACTAAAGAATATGCTGAAGGATTGTAGTTTAATATTAGGGCCACTCCATCTACAAGTTGACTAATAAATTTCTATTTCTGCAGATGACAATAATATGATAACACTAAGTTCAGTAACTGAGTGTTCTCTATACTGGAAAAAAAAAAAAAAAATTCTTTGGTAGATGGATATTCGAGTTGAAAAACAGAATCGCCCAGAAAGAGAGAGGGAAAAGGCGTGGACACGACATATACGACAAAACGCATGAGATTCCGCATAAAACTAGGAAATTAATTATCGGCGAAAAGCAAAATAAACCATGGAGAAAAATATGCGGTTGAGTGGGATAAAATAGAAAAGAGGCAAAAGAAGAAGGAGGCAAGGGAGAAAGTCAAAAGGTAGAAGCAGATGGAAAATTGGAGGAAAGTTGAAAGAAAGCCCCATCCGAAACCGAGAAAAAAACAAAAACAAAACGAAGTAGCATATCAATGACATGGTAATAGCGTTTGCGGCATTGAAAAACTAGTGCGGTGTGGAGTGAGTGTGTGAAAGTGAGAATGTACCTGAAAAGTGTGAAAAGGAAGTTCCCATCCATGACGCCTAGCCATTGCCGAGTGTAAAGTCTTCTAACGAACTACGCAATCCGAAGCATTTCCGCAGAAAAGGAGCATCTGCTCCACCCTTCAAACTTGGTCCGTAACGATGTAAAGTGGAAACCGATTCGGAATAACAGAAGGAGTTCTATGAAGATTCTTGGGCTAGGGTTTGCCAAGTCAAATTCAAGGAGAAGAAGCGAAGAAGAGAGAGAGAAAGAAGTAAGAGGTTGTTGGGTGATGTGAGAGTGGGAGGAGAGAAACGAGAATAAAGTCACTCACTCTCCCACTATTGTATTGCATTATTATTATAATAAATAAATAAATAAATTATTATTTTTATAATTTGTCGTTTTATAACAAGAATAACCTATTGTTGTAAAACGAAGATATATATTTATATATTTATTCCTATATTTCGTTTGCCTATTTATTTATTATTATTATTATTAGTAGGAGAGGTAAGATTCAATGGCACATAACTAAGTGAACGAAAGATTTGTCTACACATCATAGTCACAAGTTATTTATATTTTAATTTCAAAATTTGAAATAAAAACTTCATTAAAGACAATATAACAACGAATAAGAATGGAAAAATGACAATGGACAACGTTGTTGTGGCATAACTGTCACAGACTAATAAAAAAAAGGGAAAAAGTAAGAATGAAAAGAAAAGAAAAGAAATAATAAATATGAACAAATATTTCAACAACATTCACTTTGAAAACCGAAATAATTTATTTTAAAATTAAAATAATAAAATAACCACTTTAAAATAAAAAATTTATAAATTCAGAAGACTTAAAAAATATTTTTAAATATAAAAAAATCATCATAAATTAAGAGACTAGAGTATATTTTAGCAAAAGAATTAAAAAAAATCACATTATTTTAATTAAATATGGCGTCACTAATGTAGATGACATAATAAATCATGAGTGGACAGAAACAAAGATAATAGAAGAAATTAAGTTTTATTTGTTAAAAAAGATTTATTATTAGTTTAACTTATTATTAAGTTTACAAAATACTGACATAATAGAATTTTTTTACTTTATTAGTGAAATACTTTGTTGACTGTGTTTATATAATGACTTTATTAATGGAGGAGAAGGAGTGAATTTTTTTATTATATGGAGGAATAATTAAATATTTACGTGCCGTCCTTACATAAACATAGCAATGATTTGGAATCTTCCAACTAATGATTTTTTTGTGTGTGATATGAAAGTGACAAAAGCAATAGCGCGAGTGAGTTAAAACATGTTTGGTATATGCGCAAAGCAAAAAGCAAAATAATGAAAACCATGCCGATTTGACTTACCAACCGCAATTCAACTGTTCAATGTTTTTCTTTTCAGATTACTTTTCCCTTAAAATAAATTAAAATTATAATATGCTTTTCTTTTCTTTTGTCAAAATAGTACAGGAAAATGAAAGGTCAAATTTTAGTTGTGAATTCAGTTTTAATTTAATAATTTTTTGGCATACGGCGAGGGAAATAACAAAAAAAATATTAAAACGAAGAAGGAAACGCCAAGTGTTTGTTACCAAGTAATGGCTTCAGGAGAAGGGAAGATTCGAACCTTGTCATTATTTCGTGTCGCAGGTTTAGTTAAATATTATTGTAAATTATGTTCACATTTTAATTTAGTTACAACAATATCCTTAGAGTTTCTTTAAATTACACATGTACCCTTCAATTAAAATTATTATATTATTATTATTATTTTACAAGTAGATTTACACATGTATTCTACAGACATTAAACACGTATGTCTTGGTTATAAAAAGATATTACAAATGCATCCACCTTATTTAATTAGATATTTTTGTATTTTACAAAACTAACACAATATTTTGCTTAATCTTCTTCGCTTAAATGTCAAATATGAATTACAAATATTGTTACAAATTATTATTCAAACAAAGTACAAAACAATTCATAAAAATCAACACCATTAAACAACCTATGATGATGTAAAAAAATATATCAGTTAAAGTATCGATTAAAAATAAAGAAAATAAAATAGATTTTGACAAAAATACTAATTATCTAAAATTTCATGTGTTGTTCATAAGAGTATTTAACAAAGGAGATAAAAAAAATTACATTAAAAATTATATCAGGATAATATCATTAAATTAATTGTATTATATAAAAATATTATTCGTTTTAGATTTTCAACTGTATTATAATTTTATCCTTGTAACCTTGTAACATATTTAAAGGAGTTAAGTGAGAAATATTTATATAAAATGTTTTTAATCAGCATAATAATTTCGGAGAGTCAATAGTTAAAGATTTACGTTTCCCATAAAACGAAGGGTTTCAATTCATTTATATAATCTCTAAAAATACTTTACAAGGTAAAATTATAAGAAGTAAAACTTAAAAAGTAATAGTTGCTCAAATGTGATAATTAATTATAATAATTTATTTCTTTGCCGTATAAGTTTTGGGTACAATAAATATAATAATAATGACAAAAAATTTAAATGAAATACTTTAGTCTCCGTCCCTAAACCGATCGAATTACACATTTTATTGTATAAATCTAACTTGAGTAGTAACTATTATTATTATTTGAATAAGAATGACTTGAAAAAGAATATGCACGCAAAGAAAGACCTATCTAAGTACCTACCTAGCTGCACCAGTATCCGAATATTAGCTTTTGAGGAAGGTTGAATAGGTCATGCCTCTCATGCGTAGCTATTCTGCTATATTAATCATGTGCATACGGTATATATCTTGAACCCAAAGCTTGTCCAGATGCTATTAATCATTAATTTTGTTGATACAATCACCCAAGTCCCTTCAAAATTGGGCACTTTTAAGGCTTCACAAAGGTAAAATCGATATTGTGAGCATCTCCATTTCTTGGAGCTTGATGTGTTTGTGTTATTTCATAGAGTTGGTGTGAAGACCCCTCTGTCTCAGACAAGTCAGTATCAGATTGGTATGATCGTGGAGAATAGAGAACACTATCTGTGTCTGTGTGGCTAGGCTTGTACTTCTGAAGTAAATGTATGGGTGATGTCCCTTGGCTTGGTGTTGTTTCCCCACTCATTGTCCCTGAAGGAACATCTACCCCTGCTTTTCTTATCTTTCGCTTGTCTTTTGCCATCTTTTGCCATTTCTTCAGTGCCTTAGCAGTTTGCTCTTCAAAAATTGTTTTTTTCATGTGAGACCCCATCTACAAGTTAACACACAGATGTACCTTCATTTTGGGACGGTTTTATATAACTAGAAAACTAATTATATAACTTAAAATAGAATAAAATTGTTCATTTAAGAACTAAACGGTACACTTTTCAATATTTGAACCAAAATGAAAACTTGACACTAACATAAGAGCTAATGTTTGATTAAGTAATTGGTAGTTAGTTTGAAATTGTTCACCTGTGTTACTAGGGAGTAGAGAGGAAATGTAATGTAACTGCACACGATTTGCAGAACTATCCCAAGGAAAACCCTTATCAGTATTAGCGGCAAGTTTTCATGGAAGCAAGATGTGATCTTAAATTCATACTGCAATTTGAAAATATCATTAAAATAATGAAGTACTCAAATTTTGAAACCCCAAAACTTGATATTTCTAAAAGTAAACATCTTGGTTATATATGCTACTTACCCACGTCCACAAGAAATAGGCTATTTGGAATGCATTCTGCAAAACAACAGATAAATAAATAACTCTGAATGAAATAGGACTACAAGTTCACACACTTCAATCACAAAGAGAAATTGTTACATACTTATGGACTGTCATAACTTCAACTACCACCGATTTTTGTTAACTCTTTCTCATTAATTGAAAAAAATTTCAGTTATATCTCGTAAAATAGTTTTTCAGATCGCACACACTTCAATCACAAGTCATCACCTCGAACAAGGTGAAGTGGATTAAGAAGATAATCCACTGGGGCCGATTAAACCAAAAATACTTGTTGTTCGGCTCTACAATGGGGACTCCTCTAACAATTGTGGTTCGATCTTGGATTTCTTGGGCCATTTCCATGATTATAAGTTCAAGCTTGGTGCCCACTAACAGAAGTATCTGCCAAGCAATGAAGTTCAATGGATGTTAATACCATTAACTTTCCTTTCAGGTTAATGAAAATAATCAACAACTTTCAATTACGAGCTCCTTAATTACCACTAGCGGCGCTAATGATAGCCAGGTGAGAGTGTACCATTCTGTAGCAATAAACCAAACAAGGTCAAGGACTTCAATAACAACACGGTTTTGTGCATTGCGTGTGTGAGTTGGACAATTAAAAGAGGGATCAAGTAGAGAGAAATTACTGTAAACGTTCATAAGCATAAAGACGATTGCAAAAACCCATAAAGGAATACTGCAAAGAAGAACTAATATGGTAAGTAAAAAACCAAAAAGTCTTGCAAGATCATTAATGCACTTGTGATTTGAGGTCTTGTGATTGATACCTTATACCCACGACCACTTTAAAGTCGTCCTCCATGGATCTTTTAATGTACTTTTGGAAGTCAAATTTGCTATCGGGAGCAAAATGTGCCTGCGTTTGTCAAAGTTTTTGGGTTTTCTTAACTAACTCAATTGATGAAAAACAGCAACAACATTTATTTTGGCACATGTAAACTTTGACACCCACGTTAATAAATCCATGCCGCATGGTCATGTAATCCACCTTAGTGACAGACGCAAAGAATTGCCTGAAGAATGCAACCTACAAACAACAATTACAAATAAAGGGTTTCTTATTTATTTATTGCATAAAACTGTTCGTTTTGGTATTATTTTCTTCCGCGGAACAATAACAACGAAACAATGAATGAAACTCACAATCCATCGTATTCCTGGCATCCGAGACCAACCAGAGTGTCGCCTTACGAATGATGTTTGATGCGCAAATCTGAACCTTGAAGGATCTGCCATAATAATATAAGACATAGGTCTTTTTTTTATGCTATATATGTATCTATGCATCACATTAACTCACAATGCAACAAGAATTACCATTTGTAAATTGATACTCCAGGGAGGATGTTTCCGCTTCCCAAGCTTTCCATTTCTTCATCTGTTAAAACAATGTCACTCTCATTATTCTTCCTTTTCTTATGAATAAAATGATATATTTATAATCAGAAGTAAAAAGTAAAAATTTTATTGATGAAAGAAGTCCTTTATATTTGATAAAAAAAAAAAAAAAACTTACGTACTTTTGCTCGGGCCAGTACCATGGTCATCACGCTGTAGAAAATGTGAAAAACAGCTAGGACGAAAATAAATATATGCAATTGGTGCACCCCTGACTGAGAAATCAATGACACTTTACCCTGATTTGTCATACAGCACAAATAACACATACAAAGAGTTAATTATCATGAAAGAACAGAAATAATTCACTGTGATGTATATGTTCCTCACTTTTTGTGAGCAATAGTCATCACCAGATGCTGTTGCTAAAACTCGACGCCATCCCACGTTGTCTTCAAAATAAAGTAACTTCCTTCGGTTATTTGCATCATCTGAGTTCCTTGACCCTTCCACCTTCTTGCATGGAAGCATGATATCACCAGCTGATGTGGAGATGCATATCTTTGCAATGTATTTTGTACCAAAAGTAAGTAACAGGGATATAAATCCTAATAACATTAATTCTGCAAGCAAACACAAATTAACACATATATTCATAATTAATATTTGAAGGTAGATAAAAAATTAAAGGTACTTCAAAAATATCATTCTAACTTTGGTTACCTGCTTTGATTTTCTCCAAGGCTTCACTCATGGCCTTCTTATGTCGTTTTCGAAACCACTGTCAGGGTTAATTAATCCATAACTTGGTTATAATTCAATCCAATTAAGCAGTAGCAACAAGTTAAAACTAAAATAAAAATGAACCTTTTCAAGTACATGGATTCCATGTTCAATTAACACAGAAAGAATGATGAAGACAGAACAAACAGTAGCCACTGCCCATGTGGGTGTTTCCTGCAATGTTCTTTCTCCAGTAGAAGCTCCACCTGCCATTTTTGCTTAATTTCTTCTCTCAAACAACCAACTTCTCTAGTTAGCTTCGCCAAGCTTAGTTTGCATAATAATACGAGTTAATTAAGTTAAGCATGTGTATTTATTAGTAAATTGAAGTTGTAGAGAATGATGTTTTGTCCTATGCTTCCAGTTCTATCCGTCGAGAACGTAACGGTATTACTGTTAAAGGAACCACGCAGTTTCCTTAAAAAACAGAACATGATTAATTAACTGGTAAAAGCATATTATAATAACAACGTTAAAGCCGGCCCTTGGAAGATTTGCATGTATAACTTTCTACACATAGTTTCGTGGTCGTCGTTTTTTAAAGCGTGATTACAGGTTTAGGTCTAATAATGAGATTAAATTTGTTTTTTTTGAACTGTTTATAGGGGAGTACGTATTATTTATCGTAGCACTTGCGTTTAATACAAATTATTATATGGTTTAATGAGTTTGTTTGCAGCAAGTGTTGTTGTTCCCTTGGTTGTACTATTCTGCGAGGAGTTTTATTCTTCGATCGGTTCTGAGTGATGAAGAAGTCTTGATTGATGCCATGAAAAAACTGGAACAATTCTGGAGTTTTATGACTTTAAATTAATAAATTGAATTAATGAAAATATGAATATAAAAATAGATAAATACTGTTTATACTTAAAAAAGTAATTAAGTTCTTTAATCCTGTTAGTTAAATTTTATTTCTTATCCTATAACCTTCAAAGTGAAGCTCGTCAATGTATCGTTTCAATAAAATACACACATTAAAAAAATTAATGAATACGAGTTCAGTGATGATGTCTAGTTTATTCAATTGTTTTCTTATGAAATTGATTACGACATTTTGCATCAGAATTTGTGGAGAATTATTAAGACACAAATTTTAATGAAAAAAATATTTTAGAACATATATATTTTTTTAAATAATGAATTATATTGAGAAAAAATTGAAAATGTGCAAGATAAAGGATGGAATATTAGTGGGATTCAATTATAAAAAAAGAAAAGAAAAAAAAAGAGAGTCGCAGGGAGAGGTGGATATATCCATTTCCCAGGCAGTGATATAGGAGATATATATAGATGAAGCGCAGAGAATAGAAGAGAAAAAGAAAGAAAAAGTGTAACATAATTTACCTTCAATCCAAGCTTAGATAGTATCGAACAAAACCTTTCTTTCATTTCCTTCTTCATATTCACTCTTAATCACACTCTCACTCACCTACCTCCGCTCCATGGCCGCTGTTCCCACCTCCTTCGTTTTAACCAAATCTGGTAAAACCCTCCCTCTTTATCTGATTATTCTTTTTGTTTTTTTCCTTTTCAATGTTTTTCCACTATTCATTCTTCGCTTTATCCCTCTTTACTTTATTCCATGATTTTTAAATTTTAACCGATTTATATCAAAATTGGACCGTAAATAACCCAGGAGGCGCTTCCCCTCATTTGTTACTTATATGCCTACTTAATCCACGGTTTTTCAATTCTGGTTCTGGCTTATCGATCTCGCTCAGAAGCGTAAATTTATTGAATTTTTAAAGTTTTTTTTCCGTCATTCTTTCACGGTTGATTGGGGTTCTACAACCTCACTAATAAGGGAGGTTTTTTTGGGGTCTGTGATCTAAACAAATTGGATTTCAGCATGCTGCAAATTGGCTGTTGCTTGTTAAGATAATCTATTCCGTTGTAGTTATGAAGCCGTTCTTTACCCTGTTTTCTTGTTTTCTGTTTGTTGGGAGGGGGAGATACATGACGATATTAAGATCTGCTGTATACTTGTTTCGTGCAATGTTGGCATATTTCTATACAATATTAGTGGGGCTTGCACTATTACTCCCTTCGTTTATTATTCCTTTACACGAAAGAACATGTCTCGCTTGCTAGCTTCTCCACCGTGGAACCAGACTCGTCTATGTGTGTCCGTTTTTTTTCCTAACCGAGCATCTTGTTTTCCAACTCATCTACTGATGCAAAACTTTTGCCAGCATCGTCCATAAACAAGGTGGACCACTCTCTGGTCAAGATTAAACCATACAACTTGTCTCTGAATCTAAATCGTCAAGGGAGAATGCAAACATCTTTAGCAAGAAGGCCTCTGACAATTCAAGCTACATATAGGTATTCCCTTTGCTCTTGTGATTTTGTAATGACGGCTTTATGTAGTTTGTCTGCATGACTACGCTGAATTAGATTGGAAGTAATATTGTATGATGAGCTGCCAACAATGGTGTTAATTGTTAGTTCTTTATTCGTACAAACATTGGGGTTTCTTTGTATCATTGCTGTGCTACAACTTTCTCCTTTAGACGCCATATATTGTTGATTAGATAGATGTTGTGGATAAAAACATGGTTAAGAACCTTTTTGGGAAGTTTCTTTTTATATCAGTTACGTTTGGACTCAAATAAATGCATATTTGATCAAGAGTATTATTTTAAATATTAATTTAATTTAAATTTACTAACAATTAAATTATAAGTGACCATGTAAGGTAAAATTATAGACTTGATAACTAATTCAAAAGTTATACCTAGAACGATTTCTGATTGGTTGATAGTGTAGAGTTCTTTACCCTGACAATGCTGTAAAGTTCTTGACCCTGACAATGCATGAAAATCAAACTCTTTAAACGTTTGTAATCACTATGGAACGTGATGATAGTAGTAGTTATTGTTATTATCTCATAGATGCTTCAAACCACTGCTACAAAGAATAATCTCAAGATCACGACATTGAGAGGAAAACACAGCTAAAAAGAGGAAGAAACAGAACACAAAAAATATTCTTTAATAAAAAAAAAAATTGATTGTGGAAGTTGTTAGATGAATATTTGTTATTAATTTGACCTACTGCTTGTTCTGGAACTACAGTGATGGTGGAAGGCCCAGTAGTGCTGGTGTATTTGTTGGTGGGTTTCTCTTGGGTGGATTAATAGTTGGCACTCTTGGTTGTGTGTACGCACCTCAGGTAGTATTTGTTACTGGAATATACTTTTTCAAGTGCTTGATATTGGTGTTCAATGGGATACATTCAGATGTTTTTCTCACTCTTCAACTCATCAATTATGTGACTACATACTGAGATTAAATTGGCCAACTGCTTTTATTTATCCTGACAACAATGTGTATTGTAATTTGTTTTGTAAAATTGATATGATGTGGACCAGTGCTTTTTATTGCTGGAATTATTTTTTTTTATTCCTCCACAGATCAGCAAGGCCCTAGCTGGCGCTGACAGGAAAGAGTTAATGAGAAAATTGCCAAAGTTTATCTATGACGAAGAAAAGGCTTTAGAGGTGAGCAGTCGCTTGCTCTTGATACCATCTAGCATGGTTGTCTTATAAAGGGCACTTGCCAAAGTTCATCTTGTGTGATTAATTCGCACTTGTTAATTTTATCTTAGACTCTTATATGCCAGATTTGTATAATGATTGCTGTACTGTTGGAAAAGTTCACGTCCAATTATGTCCTAATATCATGTGGGGAATTGCTCCTGGGAGGCCCTTATGTTACTCCTTTACCCTTGGTACTTGGTGCAAAATGTTGGTTCTAAGAGAGAGTACTCCTTTAATGACTAGCAAAATTTGCTTGCTTAATCTGCAGAAAACCCGGAAAGTGCTGGCCGAGAAGATTGAACAACTGAATGCTGCCATAGATGATGTTTCTGCGCAGCTACGTTCAGAGGAGGGCTCGAATGGAGTAGCTGTTAACTCGGATGAAATTGAAGCTGCCACATGAGACTGCTGCCAAGTGCTGTGATGTTATAGTATACAATCTGTCATTGCTCCGTTCAGTAAAAAGTCTTTTTGTTGGTACAAAATGTATTTGAATTTCTTGTAATATCTTTCTATTTTTCTTAATAATAAACTAAGTGGTCTTCTGCTAATGGCTGCCGCTACGGTGGGTAAATGGTCGATCCGTATTTATGGCTGATTTCTTGTGTTATATCACCCATTTTGTTATAGTGAAAGTTTCCATGATGAGCATGATACTGGAGCAGTACTAGTCGTTTTCTGGTTCGTATCATTCAATGATCCAGGATTGATGATCGTTCTAAATGGTGAACAAAACTAGAAATCTTGTCACTTTTGCGGTCACCATGAAATCGATAACTGACGATCTATGTCTTATGGTGTTAGTAGTACCTAGACAATAACACTTCAACAACCATTGTGATATCATGATGAACATTGGATCTATCTTGTCTAAGACGAAGAGTATATTTTAGTGGATAAAATATATTTATAATAATTAAAACTTAAAAGTTATCATTTTAATGTACACATCTCATTTTATAAAAGAGTTAAATTCCTACAGACTTTTAAAAACGGGTAAGCCTCAGATTTTTAAAATTTTAGTCAGATTGTATCAAAATTGTTATGAAAGTACGTAAGAAATCCTTAGTATGCAATGAAAATTGTTATAATTCTATACTGCATCAAAATCAAACTTGTCTTAAGAGAAAAATGAATCGTGCTTAAAGATTTTTTTATAGCAGACTAATTAACACGAGTAAGTCTCGTGAAGCTTCTTTTAGTCTTCATCACATGTAGCTTTTACATATTAATACCAGGATTACTTAACTAATTATTTCTAGGTTTTTTTAATAGATTGAACTTCTAAAAAAAATTAAAATTGATTTTTATATAAGTTAATTATAATCAATAGAAAAGTTCGTCTAAATATATATATACTCAGAACATTCTCAAATTTCGAGCAAAATCAGTTATATATGATAAGATAATAATTTATATTTTATATTTTTTTAGGGAAGAGTTGCTTCCATTAAATATAACCTTAATGATTATTTGTGACCTTCAATGTAATTTTATTCACGTGACAAACAGATGTATTCAACAAATAAGTTATGCATTCTATTTTAAAATAATTGAGAATAACTACTAATATTTGAAACTGTTTAACTATAGATATAAGTTGGAACTGTAAATATAAAAAAAATTAGATTAATTGAAACTATACAAAAAGAAATTTAAATTCTGAAAAAGAAGTGGCACTTTGTTTAACTATTTTTATGTTATTTTTCATTTTTTTCGCATCTCGTTGTAAATGGTCAATATTTTGTCTGGAATGGAAAAAAAATTCATACTAATAAAACAGTACCTGTTATTTTTCTCTGATTTCATTACTTTAAAAACAAGTACTTGTATCATTTTGTATAGATTTTTACGTTATAGTATTTTATCCTTAATTTTAATTACTATTATTTATTTTTAAAATATAATTGAACTTAAAAATACAAGGTATTTACCAGCAGCTAGTTTGTACATGGAAAAGTATGGATGAAAAGTACGGTTTGTGGCTGACGCTTTTGTCTTTCTTTTGGCGAAAAAAAGAAAGAAACATTTTTTATTATTAACGAAGAGACACTGTTGGGAAATGAATGAACGGCCATAATAATGATACGTGGCTCTCAAAATACGAAGTCGCAATATTGAAAACGTTGAGATCCAAACATTATCTTATCCCATATAGATTTTCTTACAACTTATTCACCACTCATTCCCGTTACACCCAGCAACCATAATTTTTTTTCTTCTTTTATGACCATCTGCAAAGAATAAAACAAGAGGAGGAAATTCAACTTTGTTGTTGATATATACTACACACACACAGAGTTGTTGCACACCCTTGTTGCAGCCATGGCCACTCATGCGGCTTTAGCTTCCACAAGGATTCCCACAAACACCAGGTTCCCATCCAAAGCCTCTCACTCTTTCCCAGCTCAATGCACCTCAAAGGTCTATTTCTTGCATTATTAATTAGCATGGCACATACATGTTGTTTGGTTTTTCACTTTAATCTATATGTATAGTTTCTTATACATTCTACTTGTGCAGAGACTTGAGGTGACAGAATTCTCTGGGCTAAGATCCACTTCATGTGTCACCTATGCTAACAATGCTAGGGAAGCTTCCTTTTTTGATACCGTGGCTGCCCAACTCACTCCCAAGGTTAGTTTCATTTAGTTATGAATAATGAATCCATTCCCACCTGGTTGATTGGATCATCATGATGAGAGTTTCTTTCCTGCTTGTATGAGTTATATATCTATATATACAAGCTCTTACTTTCTTTGCTCTTTATTGGAGAATCTCAATCAGCTCAATACGTACCTACCTCTACAGAATGTTAGATTCACAACATATATGCTATAAAACCATGAAAAATGCGCGAGAGATGTTATTTGTATTAACAACTACAGAGAAATATGAGATGTAACAACTGAGTTAGAGAGAGGTTTTGTATGAAGTTGTACGAGTTTTATGGTATCATTGGTACCTGAAATAATGAAAACCCTTGTTTGCCTATTAAAAAATGATGTAATAGATAAATATAGGCATGCAAATTATTATTGAATAAAACAGTGTAAGAGTTGTTGTATGAATAACACTGTCCAAGATGCATAGCTTCTTCATTGTTCCTTTTAAAACTATATAATAAGCTAAGGAGGGAAATCTTTAGTAAGGCTTCTATGCTTGTTTCTACTTTCTAATTGGCAAATTAAAAGCAGACCAATGGATCAACTCCTGTGAGGGGAGAAACCGTGGCCAAGTTGAAGGTGGCAATCAATGGTTTTGGACGTATTGGTAGAAACTTCCTTCGTTGCTGGCACGGCCGAAAGGACTCACCCCTTGATGTTGTTGTTGTCAACGACAGCGGTGGTGTAAAGAATGTAAGTTTTTAATTGGCTTGGCTGAGTTGGTTTTATTGGCACAGATATTTAGTTTCTGAATGGAATGGTAGTGACCTTCATTAATTCTGCTTCACATATGATCCAGGCTTCACACCTGCTGAAATATGATTCTATGCTGGGAACCTTTAAAGCAGATGTGAAAATACTAGACAATGAAACCATCACTGTTGATGGTAAGCCCATCAAGGTTGTCTCAAGCAGGGATCCTCTTAAGCTTCCTTGGACTGAGCTTGGAATTGACATTGTTATTGAGGTAACTCCCCTTTACTTGATTTACTTTAAACATCATGTAATGAAGTGAAAATTTCCCAAGATTGTTGTTATTGAGGTAACTTTCTTCTAAAAAGAATGAATTAATTTTTGTTCAGGGAACTGGAGTGTTTGTAGATGGCCCTGGGGCTGGCAAACACATCCAAGCAGGTGCCAAGAAAGTTATTATCACTGCACCTGCAAAGGGTGCTGACATTCCAACCTATGTTGTTGGAGTAAATGAAGGGGACTACACTCATGAGATCTCTAACATTATAAGGTCTGTAACAACAACCAAGGCTTTGCTCTGTGTGTGTCAATGAAACATTGTTTTTCTGCCAATAAACTGATATTCATATTCCATCCTGCTTTTGTTTCTTTTCTCTTATTGTTTCTTCAATGTGCAGCAATGCTTCTTGCACCACAAACTGTCTTGCTCCCTTTGTGAAGATCCTGGATGAAGAGTTTGGTAAGCGAACACTCATCATACTGGCAGTTATTATTTAAGAGAGATATTCCAGGCTCAAAGTCACTTCCCTTTGGTCTATGTTTCCAGGAATTGTGAAGGGAACCATGACAACCACTCATTCCTACACAGGAGACCAGGTAAGATCGATCAACCATGTCAGATCACTCATTTTAAAGATCATGCAACTTTAAATTTTGACCATGCATATAAAATTATATGTCTATGATTTACTCTTCTCAATTTATATATAAGATCAGACATCCTTGATAAATTAGAATATTTAATAAGTGATGTTCCAACTGAAAATGGACAACAAACTGTTACTACCATAGCTAAGCAAGAATTGTGGTGTGTTTGCGCAGAGGCTTTTGGATGCTTCACACCGTGACTTGAGACGAGCCAGGGCTGCAGCACTGAACATTGTCCCAACCAGCACTGGAGCTGCGAAGGCTGTGTCTCTAGTGCTGCCAAAGCTGAAGGGGAAGCTGAATGGCATTGCACTCCGTGTGCCTACACCCAATGTTTCAGTTGTTGACCTTGTGGTGAATGTTGAGAAGAAGGGTCTCACTGCTGAAGATGTGAATGGAGCATTCAGAAAGGCTGCAGAGGGGCCACTGAAAGGTGTATTGGATGTGTGTGATGTTCCACTTGTATCCATCGACTTCCGCTGCTCTGATGTTTCTTCTACTATTGACTCCTCCTTGACTATGGTCATGGGAGATGATATGGTTAAGGTGGTTGCTTGGTATGACAATGAATGGGGTTACAGGTTAGTTAGTTCACTCTCCATCTATGATAAACTCATTTTTTATACATTCTCATTGGATAGAATTAGATAAGAACATGAATAACTATACGCACTACATTGTCTTTTAACCATAGTTATATATAAGAATTTGTTCATTTTAATTATAACTATTTTAAAGGTCATACTAGTCATGATTTCTAATTGGTTAAACTAACACTGCATAGAAACTGAAGTCTTGAAACATTCACAATCAAGCTTTTTTCTTAGTTGTGTTATTGTACATCTCATGATTCAATTGAGTGAAATGGAACACATAGTTTACAATATTGGTGATTGCAGCCAAAGAGTGGTGGATTTGGCACATCTAGTAGCAAGCAAGTGGCCAGGAACACCTAAAGTAGGGAGTGGAGACCCATTGGAGGAATTCTGCGAGACAAACCCTGCTGATGAGGAATGCAAAGTTTATGAATAGAGAAGGAGAGGAGCATTTTCTGATTTGATCACCATTAGCAGCAACCCATTTTTACTCTTTACCTTGTGTCAACATATCATGTGAAAAAGAAGGAAATTGCTCAAACATCAACCATGTCTGGGAGATTTTCAAATTTAAATTTATCTGCAGCCTATATAATAAGTTTTGGCGTGACTGATATTCATGAATATCACCCATATATTCATTGATATTGCATTTCTTAATTGTTGTGCTGATTTACATATCTTCCAATCCTTACATGGAAAGTGCCAAACAGTAACCACGTAAGCAAAATACATATAGATAAATTTATTTGCTTTCTTAGTGCATTAAAAGTTGTGTCTACACATCTCTATAATGTCATTTTATTTATAAGAAATTAATATATTATTTTGCTCTATTAATAAAAAGTTTAAGAAATCTAAAAAAACATAAAAAAAATGTACACATTTGAAGACAATTATTACGTTGAAATGATTTTCCTAAAAAAAATTCTAAGAAACTTACAGTGTGACATAAAACTATTTCAACAATCATTTTTTAAAGAACAATTTATTGAATTTAAGAAACAGGGAATAAAAAATGTTCATTGAATATGCAAACAAAACAAAAGAACACCTCATCCACTAACCCCAGATGATACGAACCAAAGAAAAGTGAAGTACATATTCAACTTCTACTTACCTTTTCATTCTATTTTATATTTCAAAATATTTCTCCTACTTTTATTGGGTATTGATTTGGGTCAGCTAGGCCCATCCGGTAGAATCAATACGGCCCAATTTCCCGAGTTGGCCGAGGTTCGAAGCTCGTAAAAACTTTAACTACTGTAACTTAAATGGAAAGAGACCATTTTGGAAACATTGGGATCATTGAAGCACGATACTGTGTCTTATATTGTCTTCATAAAATTTTGAAGCAGCTGTTTACCTCCATCGTTGAAAGTGGACGTGACGGTGATTTTTCTCTGACACACACTACAGCATTTACTGGAATGAATAAATCACGATGGATTGAAATAATTGGACAAAAAATATTTGTTTTCTCTCCTCAATTTAGATCATCATCTTAGAATGTAAAAAATGAACAAATTTAATCAATCAAGTATGGAGTATGGAGAGAACGAAAGGAGTAAATTATATCCTGTAATATTTTTCCTTTGACTCTTTTCTCTTCTTTCCTACCTATCCATTTTTTTCACTTCGTTTTTTTTTTTTTTCACCCTACCAAATACATCCTTCGATTAAAAGGTCTCGGAAGGCGAGTTGTTATGATTCTGAGTGAAGACGAATTGGTGGGTAAAGGACAAGGTTTGATGCGAAGGAATCCCACAAAACAAGGAAATCATCCACTATTGATCTTGGGGAGGTCGACGTTGTCCCCACCAACATCTTATAAGTTATGATGATTATTCCCCTCTCACTTGTTTTACGTTCATACACCCTGCTACTGCAATTTTTGATGCAGCCAGCCAGAAATATATACACTATGCATGTCCCTTCTCATTGAAAAGCCATTCCAAGTTAGCCATAGCCATAGCCATAGCCATGGCCACATGCAGCCATGCAGCACTTGCACTGGTGCTCGCCATTTTCATCTCACAATCCTCCGTTTCAGCTGTGGGAATCAACTACGGAACACTCGGAAACAACCTTCCATCGCCCAAGAAAGTCGCACAGCTTCTGCAGTCCAGCTTAATAAATAAGGTCAAAATCTACGACTCAAACCCTCAAATCCTCCAAGCATTCTCCAACACCGGCATCGACCTCATCGTCGCCGTCCAGAACTCTCTTGTTCCCAACCTCTCGGACCACTCCTCCTTCGCCCACCAATGGCTCTCCACCCGCATCCTCCCCTTCATCCCCGCCACCTCTATCGTCGCCATCACCGTCGGCAACGAGTACCTCACCGCCGCCACCGACGACGACGACTCCAACGCCCTCTTCCGTGCCATGCAAAACCTCCACGCCGCCCTCGTCTCCCACTCCCTCGACCGCAAAATCAAGGTCACCACCCCACACAGCATGTCCGTCCTCGCTTCCTCATTTCCTCCATCCTCCTCAACCTTCGCCCTAGGCCTCATCCCAGTGATGACCGACATCGTCGCCTTCTTATCCGACACCAACTCCCCTTTCATGATCAACGCGTATCCCTACTTCGCCTACAGAGACAACCCTAACCCTAACCCTAGCCCTGACACTAGCTCCATCGACTTGGACTACGCGCTTTTAGGTAACGCCACGGGGATCCACGACCCTAACGGTTACGTCTATCACAACATGCTGGACGCGCAAATCGACGCCGTTAGATCCGCTATTGTTTCTCTTGGGTACGGAAACCGGAGCGTTGATATAACCGTTTCGGAATCAGGGTGGCCGTCGAAGGGTGGCGATTCCGATTCCGCTGCCACTCCCGATAACGCGAGGTTATACAACACGCGCTTGATCGAACGCGCGCAGTCCAATAGAGGGACTCCTATGAAGCCCAAGGATAAGATCGACATTTTCGTGTTCGCGTTGTTCAACGAGAATTTGAAGGAAGGTGACGAGAGTGAGAGAAACTTCGGGTTATTTAATGGCGACGGGTCTAAGGTTTATGAGGTGGACTTGAGTTGCGACTTTTGCAGCGGTGGAAGCTCGTTTGGGTTTGGGGAGAGAGGTTTGGCTTTAGGTTCGGGTTCGGGTCCGTCGATTTGGTGCGTGGCGAAACCGCACGCGGATGAGAAGGTGCTTCGGAGTGTATTGGACTTTTGCTGTGGGCCTGGTGGAGTGGACTGCAGAGAGGTTTACGAGGGTGGGGATTGTTTTCGGCCCAATAATGTTGTTGCGCATGCTTCTTATGCCATGAATGCTTATTATCAGATGCATGGGAGGAACTACTGGAACTGCGACTTCAAAGCCAGTGGCCTTGTAACTTTCACGGATCCAAGTAAGCCAAATTACTCATTTCGTTTGATAAATGTGTGATTAGGATTTTAATTAACTTGCATTTTCCGATGACAATGTGATTACTGACCAGGTTATGCATCGTGCCGGTACCCTAGGCAGTAATGTCATGAATGATGATGAAAGGCCAAGAGCTCTTCCAGTTTGGGTTTTTGGCTGACAGCTGTTGGTAATTTTTATTTGTTAAACTGTTAGTATCACTGCTTCAACCAAGTTGATGTTATAGTGTGATGTGATGTGATGACTCTGGATTATTTTCTTCGTCCGTTTCTGTAGATTTTTGAATATTTGGCCGTTCTTGTCTGAAAAAAAACTTTAATTATTGATGCCACTATATCCATACGGACACGTGAAAAAGTTGGAAAAAGTGAACTAAAAGCTTCCTTTTTCCTCTATCTCAGGCTTTTGTTGAATAAAGTTACTAAATTTGATTGACTGTTTTCTCTAGAGATACCAACTCAGCCGTACTAGCTAGCATATAGGAGTATTGACTATGATTTTTTTGTTTGAATCCAACTACTCTTTTTCATGTCTACAGTTATCCCTGATAGAGCAGAAATACCTAAGGCTACGTTTGGTTCCAGTGATTTGATAGAGTAGAGATTTGATAGAGTAGAAATGGGAATGTGAAAAAAAGAAGAATTTGAAGAAAAAATGGAGATGAAATTAAAATTATTTGGATGAATAGAAAGTAAAAGAAAAGTTTATAGAAAATTGTGAGAGATTTGATTGATATAAGATATAAAAATTATAATTTTAATTGATTATTAAAAAAAATGACTATTTTACCCTTGTGTATAAAATAAGATTAAAATTATTATAAATATAATTTTTTAATTAATTATCCATATTTTAACATTGATTATATATTTGAAAGAAATAAAAATTTAAAAGTGTTTGTAAGTGGAAACAAATTTAAAAAATTAAATTTTTTTAAAATAATTATTAAAAATTATATAAATAAACAAATTTATTTATATTGTATATCCATAAAAAAATAATTTTGACATATTAAATAAAATATTTGACTAATAATTAAATAATTATAAAATATAAAATAATAATTAACATTGACTAATAATAACAAATAATTATGAAAATTAATAATATAATTGTAAATTATTATTTTAAATAAATATAAAATATAGTGAAAATAGAATAATAATTAAATGAAAAATTTATGTAAACTTAATAGTAAAAATATTTTATTATTTAGTTAAAAATTATATTAATATATATTTTTGTCATATTTTTATATTTTCAACATAAAATTAGAATATATATATATATATATATATATATATATATATTAGAATTACATGTCATAAATTTTAATTATCAAATAATATTAATTAATACGAGACATTAGATATTTGATAAACATTGTTAAAATTATAAACTTATGCACATTAATGCTCATCAAAAAAATAATTATAATGTTATCTATCATTTGCAGTCAAGTCCTCGAGTTCAGAAGTTCCCTCGTCAGAATGTACTTCAATAGCAGTATCTCGTCGAAAGGTTTGCCGAGTAGGTCTGCCAAATTCATTGTGATCGAAGAGCTCCTAATTGAATCTTAAAGTATTTTGAGGTCTTTATAGCAGATCATTCAATCACTTCCACCCAAGAACATGAACAACTGGGAGAGACGAAGATGTGAGGGCAAACAAAAAAGTCGTCTAACATGTGATTCGTGAGTACACAAATGATTATAACACTGAAGCATAAGTTGTTCGTCATTTAGGTTCATGCCGACTAACATGTCCCATATATCTGACTCGGAATGTTGAAATGTTGATGATCGTCTCATCACATTAACTTGCTCATTAATTAAATCATTTCTGCGTTCAATGGCGACCACTTGTCTTTTAGCTATGTCAGATAATCGTTGGGTCAATGTATTACCTTGCCCAAGGTAATCTGTAAATGTGTCCAGCCTCATTGTTAGTTTGTCAAATTGACCTTCCATCACATCAACCATAGACACTTTTCTTTTTGTGCCCCGAGATGAAGAGGTTCCACCTGAACCAGTAGACGCAACAGTTGGCATTGACTGAGCACCCTCAGCAGGACTGTCGGAACCCATGCGTGGAGGTGATCGATAAGTTGTATCAAATCCTGCATCAAAGCCAAAGTGAAATGGCTGCTCCTCTGGTGTGGGGTCCACATCAACGTTTAAGTCAACTGTTGTCCTTCGAGAACTGATATTCATTCGGGACTGACGCGAAGTTCTTGCCATATGTCCAGGCTCGATCAGCACCCCACAATTCTTCCATCAAATCATAATACCTTATAGTTGACAGTTTCCATTTAGCTGCAGAAGGTTTCGCCTACAAATTAATGAGAATGGTTAACACTTGTAATTGTTATGTTTTGTTATATCAACAAATGATAATTCATATAATAGTACCTTGATTAGGTCATCCCATACTTCTTGCTCAGCCATAAACCGTTTTATGATATCATCCCAAGCGAATCCACTAAGTCCATGAAACAAATCGTGGACCTCCCGCCATCTATCCTTAGGACTTTTTTGTCGATTTTTAACATTATTTTTAGTTATACCAATTAATTCAGACTGTCTTAGGGATTCAACTATATTATTATATGCTTGGGTTGTTCAACTACCATCAACCTGATTACCCAACCTTGCCTCATGAAGCATAGCAGTCAACAACCGAAAGTCCATGTCATTAGTCCATTTTGTAAACTCGCACACTACAGTTGACGAATTCGGTGCAATATCCTTTCCTCTGTTCATTTTAAACCTATTGGAAAGATAATATATGTAATTACGATACCAACATATAATTATTATAAATAGATAATCGTAATGTAATCGTATTTCAACAATAACAATAGTACATCTCATTAAATATATTGTTACACACAAAATCTAATGACTTTGATAATCTATCCATATTTGATTTGCTATAGTATCTCTTAAGTTTGACCCTTCCCTATAATCCTCTTCCCAAACTTGAGTCGACATATTATCCACATCTTGTTCCATCAACTCTCGATCCACTTCAGCTAACAGTGATTCATCGTTGTCTATCCCTTGAAGAAAATTGTGTAGAATGCAACATGCTAGGACTATATTTGTCATTGTATCAAATGAATAATGAGGCTCTGTTCCACTAGCTATTATAGGAAATCTTTTCTTCAAAACTCCAAATGTTCTTTCAATTACATTTCTAAGAGACGAATGTCGATGGTTAAACAATTCTCGGGGGTTTTGTGGAGCTCGTCGAGAATACTCTTTAAGGTGGTATCTAATGCCTCGATAAGGGGTCATTATGTTTGCTTTTAACATAAATCCAACATCCCCCAAGTAGTATTTACCTATTTAAAATCATTGAAGTTATACTAATTAGAATATTTAAACTAGTTGACTATACACAAAATCCCCACGTTATAAATAATAAACCTTGTGGTATGATAAGGTGATCCTCTCTCGTAAGAACATCCTTTAATATTCTTGAATCAGATGTTGTTCATTCCCACCCTGCTAGAACATATGTGAATTTCATGTCAAAATCACAAGCTGCAAATAAATTTTGTGTTGGCCAATCTTTTCTTCCACGAAAACGAGGGGCATCGGATCTTGCGACTTTAACTCGAACATGAGTTCCATCTATTACCCCTAAACAATCCTAATTGGTAAAAAAATTTATTGTCATTAAAGTTTAGACAATCTATGTGTATGTTATATAGACACAAAGTTGGTAAGTAGATTACCTTAAAGTATGGGTAAAATCGGTTGTTGTTTAATATATACGGACACACATCCCTTCCTGATGGTTGAACAATTAATTGTTCCTCCAACATTATTATCGCATTCAACACATTATGAAAGTGTCGACTAACGGTTTCATCTGATCGATGAAAAAAAAAATGAAACAGTTTGATTTTTAACGTTATGTCCGATAATATGGAGAAATTTAGCCACTTGTTCTTCCACTGTTGATTGTAACCCATCGTTTACTAACCCAGTTGTCCTTACTCGTTGACACAAGTTAATGAACGCCTCCGGTCTCATGCGAATAATGTCATGAGATTGTTCAGTATGAATAAGGTATGACATCAACTCGTGCCGACGACGTTCTTTTTCAGAAATAAAGTCCCTAATATTACCGCTACTACAAGTTACCATAGACAACATATTTAATCCATAAGCTATCAAACAAAGAATTGTCATCGCTCCTACTTCGCTTCGCTTTTTTATCTCACTTTGTATATGTGAAATTATGTTTATATCCATATCAATATCTATATCGTCATTGTCTAAACCAATGCCCTCGATGTTTTTGTACGTCATATCTGCAAATATATATATATATATATATATATATATATATATATATATATATATATATAATTAATGTTTAATGGAAGTAATTCAAATTGTCATCTGCAAACCAGTATGACAAAGAAAAAATTATTTACAAAACTACTAATAATATTTTTCCTCTAATATTTTTACTTCTTTTTTAACAAATTCTCATTTTTGTAAATTTTTTTCTTTTCTCAATTTTACATACTCCATTTATTATAAAAATAATAAATTTATTTTTTAAATATAACTATATTTAACTTTTTTTCCTTATTTAATTATGCATTAATAGTGTCTCGTCCTAATTTTTACTAATTTTTTTTTATGTATCTCTCAATTATTTTTTTTTCTTTTCATTATATATAAAAAAATTCAAAATTTCCATATAATAATTAAAATTGCAAAAAACAGAGATTTTAGTTCCAATTTTTCGTTCCAATTTTTGCTTCCATCATTCCCAGTTTTTGCTTCCAAGATGCATATGCGGTAGCTACCAATTTTTAGTTCAACCATGCATGGAGTACAACACCAGTAGAACCAGTTTCAGGTTGCAACCATGGAAAACAACATATGAACCATACCTGTGGGAGAAGATATGAACGAAGCTCTTTGTAGGACAAGCTGACGGCGAACTTGACAGTGCCCCTAAGATACAACCTGCAATAACAACATAACCAATGCACAAGTCAGCAACCATGGTCGTATGGTGCCCATTTTTTGTTGGAGTGGAGGAGATTTGGCCATGTTTTATACCTCAAATCTGAATGGTCACACACACTCTTATGCATGCACACAGACTCCAAAAACAAACGTATCAACCAAGTTTGAGGTTCCAACCATGACAGAGAAGACACAGAACCATACCTAGGGTGTTCCTCCGACAAGATACCAAGCAAGTTGTTGGTGGGACAAGGTCACACCGAAGTTGATGGTCGTCGCGAAGATCCAACCTACAACACAAATACAAACAAATGAATCTCACGTATGACAAACCATGGATCCACGTTTATGGGGCTCTAAACAACTTTGGCATATGGAATAGAGTCTTTTAGCTAGTCTTATGCGACTAGCTTTGCTTTATATAATACAATAACTTTCCCTATCAGTTGTAACTAGAGAAGACGTGAAGCTGTGAACACGTGAAGCTGTTAACACGTGAAGTTGGTTGTACAGCCCGTGACCTCTGCATGTACAGCCCGTGACTTCTGTTCATGACTTACCTCCTTCAAATAATCGATTACTTTTTCAAATAATTGAGATTTTAGATAGCGGTTATAGAACTAACCGCTATTAAAAATATATATTAGATAGCGGTTAACGTGAAACCGCTATTATATGTTAACTTTTAAGAGCAGTTAAAGTGTTAACCACTCTTAAAAGTGACACATATATGATAGCGATTCAACTTTAACCTCTCTTAAGAACATTTGGAGTTTTGAAGAAAAGATTTCCTATAATAGCTAGTGGAACAGAGCCTCATTATTCATTTGATACAATGACGAATATAGTCCTAGCATGTTGCATTCTACACAATTTTCTTCGAGGGATAGACAACGATGAATCACTGTTAGCTGAAGTGGATCGAGAGTTGATGGAACAAGATGTAGATAATATGTCGACTCAAGTTCGGGAAGAGGATTATAGGGAAGGGTCAAACTTAAGAGATACTATATAGCAAATCAAATGTGGATAGATTATCAAAGTCATTAGATTTTGTATGTAACAATATATTTAATGAGATGTACTATTGTTATTGTTGAAATACGATTACATTACGATTATCTATTTATAATAATTATATGTTGGTATCGTAATTACATATATTATCTTTCCAATAGGTTTAAAATGAACAAAGGAAAGGATATTGCACCGAATTCGTCAACTGTAGTGCGCGAGTTTACAAAATGGACTAATGACATGGACTTTCGATTGTTGTTTGCTATGCTTCATAAGGCAAAGTTGGGTAATCGGGTTGATGGTAGTTGGACAACCCAAGCATATAATAATATAGTTGAATCCCTATGACAGACTGGATTAATTGGTATAACTAAAAATAATGTTAAAAATCGATAAAAAAGTCTTAAGGATAGATGGCGGGAGGTCCACGATTTGTTTCATGGACTTAGTGGATTCGCTTGGGATGATATCACAAAACGGTTTATGGTTGAGCAAGAAGTATGGGATGACCTAATCAAGGTACTATTATATGAATTATCATTTGTTGATATAGCAAAACATAACAATTACGAGTGTTAACCATTCTCATTAATTTGTAGGCAAAGCCTTCTGCAGCTAAATGGAAACTGTCAACTATAAGGTATTATGATTTGATAGAAGAATTGTGAGGTGCTGATCGAGCCACTGGACATATGGCAAGAACTTCGCGTCAGTCCCGAATGAATATCAGTTCTCGAAGGGCAACAGTCGACTTGAACGTTGATGTGGACCCCACACCAGAGGAGCAGTCATTTCACTTTAGCTTTGATACAGGATTTGATACAACTTATCGATCACCTCCACGCATGGGTTCCGACAGTCCTGCTGAGGGTGCTCAGTCAATGCCAACTGTTGCGTCTACTGGTTCAGGTGGAACCTCTTCATCTTGGGGCACAAAAAAAAAAGCGCCTATGGTTGATGTGATGGAAGGTCAATTTGACAAACTAACAATGAGGCTGGACACATTTACAGATTACCTTGAGCAAGGTAATACATTGACCCAACGATTATCTGACATAGCTGAAAGACAGGTGGTCGCCATTGAACGCAGAAATGATTTAATTAATGAGCAAGTTAATGTGATGAGACGATCATTAACATTTCAACATTCCGAGTCAGATATATGGGTCATGTTAGTCGACATGAACCTAAATGACGAGCAACTTATGCTTCAGTGTTATAATCATTTGTGTACTCACGAATCACATGTTAGACGACTTTTTGGTTTGTCCTCACATCTTCGTCTCTCCCAATTGTTCATGTTCTTGGGTGGAAGTGATTGAATGATCTGCTATAAAGGCCTCAAAATACTTTAAGATTCATTCAGGAGCTCTTCGATCACAATGAATTTGACAGACCTACTCGGCAAACCTTTCGACGAGATACTGCTATTGGAGTACATTTTGACGAGGGAACTTCTGAACTCGAGGACTTGACTGCAAAGGATCGATAACATTATAATTATTTGTTTGATGAGCATTAGTGTACATAGGTTTATAATTTTAGCAATGTTTGTCAAATATCTAATGTCTGTATTAATTAATATTATTTGATAATTAAAATTTATGACATGTAATTCTAATATATATATATATATATATATATATATTCTAATTTTATGTTGAAAATATAAAAATATGACAAAAATATATATATTAATATAATTTTTAACTAAATAATAAAATATTTTTACTATTAAGTTTACATGAATTTTTCATTTAATTATTATATTTTCACTATATTTTATATTTATTTAAAATAATAATTTACAATTATATTATTAATTTTCATAATTATTTGTTATTATTAGTCAATATTAATTATTATTTTATATTTTATAATTATTTAATTATTAGTCAAATAATTTATTTAATATGTCAAAATTATTTTTTTTATGGATATAATTTTATAATTGTTTATTTATATAATTTTTAATAACTATTTTAAAAAAATTTAATTTTTTAAATTTGTTTCCACTTACAAACACTTTTAATTTTTTTTTCTTTCAAATATATAATCAATGTTAAAATATGAATAATTAATTAAAAATTATATTTATAATAATTTTAACCTTATTTTATACACAAGGGTAAAATGGTCATTTTCTTAAATAATCAATTAAAATTATAATTTTTATATCTCATATCAATCAAATCACTCACAATTTTTCATAAACTTTTCTTTTATTTTTCATTCATCCAAACAACTTTAATTTCACCTCCATTTTTTCTTCAAATTCCTCCTTTTCCACACTCTCATTTTTACTCTCTCAAATCACTCCAACTAAACATAGTCTTTCGCCCTGTTTGATTGAAATGAAAGACTGTTTACACGGAAAAAAAAAAAGGAGAAGTTATGTTTAAATAAATAGATTTGTGCAGAATGAACAGAAGCTCCTCCTAATAAAGGAGACTGGGAAATGAACATGAGTAGAAATGAAGATTTTTGTTTGACAGAATAAATATATGACTTTGAAAAAAAAAAAAAAACGCGGTCCCATTCATCAGAACTTCTCTTCAAACAAAAATTTATTTTTTGTCGAGTGGACCTTTTACCATTTGTTGTTCTAGGGTGCAAACAATAACCAATCTGAGTGTTGTAGCTTTAACCAACCTCCTTTCCCTTAACATCATTATCTTCAAAAACCTGTAATACACGAGAACACAGGACACCAAATATACTCTTAAATAGAGGCGTTAAATTTGATATGTCAATAGTATAGGTTAGCAGATAAAAAATATACAAAACTGCAAACATAAATCTACTTGAATTTTTAAAGGAAAACAGGGTAGAGGTTTCATAACATGCGATGGGAATTTTATAGAATGTAACACAACTACGCAAGTCGTTTGTTAACATGTTCTTTATGATACACTTCATAACATGTTCTTTGCTAACATATATCCTGTCTGAGGAAAGTTTTATGACTATAAAACATTAGCAATGAATTATGGGATTTTTACATTAAGAGCATTGCTAAAGATTAATAAGCAATCAATGCCATCAAGTGTTAATTGTTTGAGTTGAATTAGGGCGTTATTTCTGTTCGTAGTTGTACCCTCTTCGACTGCCTTCCCAGTTGATCTTCAAGTGATCTTTCGTCTCCATTTCTCTTTCTTCCTTTACTCCTCGATGGATCTTCTCTCTCGTCAATCAGTGAAAGAAATCTTTGAAAAGGGCCAGAAATTGAGCAAGCACTAGAAGCAGGTTCAGAAGGTAGAGATTTCCGTAACTGGAACATAAGCTGCAAAAAATGCAAAAGAAGAGCAACAAAACAAGCTATCCCGCAAATGAGAAAGAGACCCCAGAAACTTTTAAGCTGAAGACGATCTGAGTCAATTTCAGCATTGTCTAAACTACAAGAGCTTCGTGTCATCCACTTATCATGAATCCTCTGTAGATCACCCGTTTCAGAAAGTTGTAGAATGGCTGTTGACATATCCACTGCCAAGGGGGAGTCCCGGGGGAATGCCTATCATGCCAACAAAATGAGTATTATGACAATAATTTTGATAACACAAACTACTTTGATGAATCTATCAAAAGCATATATATTACTCCATATAACACTCAAATAAAAAGAAGTGTATGATTGGTTTCACAAGACTCCATCCACAATCTTTTTCTGCATTAATTTTCTTTTTACAGAAGTACTGTTATGTATGGGTCATTTTCCAGAGTTTATAAATATTAAATTGGAAATCTTGCTTAGATTTTTCATATGCATAAGAAATAAAAATTAAAACAATAAATATATTAATTATGAGAGATGATACAGGAATTAAAACCAATAGTAATACTATTTTGAACATGAAAGTATGTTTTTAGGGGTGATATTAAAAAGCAAATATAAGTTAAGATAAATTTAATGCTACTAATTAAACTAACTAATTTAATTAATTATAATGAATTAGTTAATTGAGTTTTAATAAAAGGGGACACGAGGGAGTTACAATTTTCATACCTACAACCGAAAGAAAAGAAAAGCAAGGGAATATGCAGCTGACAGATATCATTCATTCCCTTTTTCCATTCACGATATATGAAAGACAATCGTTTGGGTAGAATGCTTATCGAATAAGTTCTTATATCTACACTTGCGAATAAGTTGAGATAAATTCAAATAAATTGTTTATGATACGTGGAACATATCCTAACATCCATGCTATGACAATCAAAACCAAACGAGCTTTGTGAAAACCTGATGAGATATGCATATATTAGCATGCTAAAGAGCACAATGAGATTGGAGAAAACCAAGTAACCGAGGATGAATCAATTTTTTTATTCACTGTACCCATGAAAACATTTAAAAGA